CAATCTTTCTAAAACTACCCTAGCAAAATATAATTCAATAGCAACTGCTCATTGTTCTATTTTATAGTTTGCAAACAATCACATCGTTTATAGTCGCAAACATTTGTACTTCGTTGACTTTCCAATGCACTTGTCTAGGAGCTAGGAGAAAAATACCGAGTGAACTGAACTTATAAATTAAGTCTGCTGACATTGTAATAAATTGTGAGAAACCACACTTAATATACAAAATTCACATGAAAAAAGTGGGTTAATTACTTGCAACGCGAAGATTTCTAATCAGACCACCGATGTCTCCAGTGAACTCTTGCGGATGGCTCGTGTCACTGGATGTGTCAAAACGTCTGCATTGTCTGTCGCATAGCATATAGTATGACAAACTGCATTGTATCCTTCCAAAAGAATATTGGTCAATGTTGATATTTGTCCCGCACTATTTCGGCAACTATGTCCCTGGGTATCATTGTAGCACTAGCAGTCTTCGTGAGTGCCGCCTTGGCACTGCGCCCCGGTCGCCTACTGAAATACACGTACACATTGTAGACGAGCTGCCTGGTATCCGCTGGCAACTCGATCCTACTCTCTTCCCCACAGTCTGCCACTTTGCCATTGTATAATCTTCGCCAACTAAACATTGTCCATGCGGTCATTGCCTCGTCCCCGTATTGCGCCGTTTTGAATCAATTTCTAATTCGTTCTACAAATACACTAGTTTATGTTGATTACACTCTAATTTCCACTTGCAACAATAGACGTACAAATAGCTGATGTTTCACGGTTGCAATTCGTAACGTATAAGTTTTTTCAGTGGACACGTACAATAACTGAATGCAACAATAACTCGAATATTTAACTTGCACAGAGCAACAGCCACGGGTTATCACGAAGATATCCGTTCAATCGCGAAGACGATCACACACTGGCTGCTACAAAGCCTCAGAAGACTACATTTGCAAACAAGTCACATGGTCGTGACATCCGCTGTGTTACAAACGTGATCACAATGCTATAGGAATTGAAGATACAGCACAAGTAGACCAAGATGTGCCGACTTTGTATGCACGACTAGCATTCCTGTTCACAACCTTGGACAGAGATAGCATAATGTCCGTTATAATAAAAAATATATTGCTTCTAGCAAATATGTACATCGCCATTTTCAAATAAACCGTTGGCTCATGTTTGGATATGAATAGAAATGTTCCCCATTCTCGCTATGGTGTTTAGAAAATGTTCTATCCTATGCATGGAACATTTTTTAAGGTCACATGTAAAAGAAAATTGTGAATACCTGCTTCAGTATTTAAGTCTAATATTATCGTCATTCGCTCAAAAGTCACTAGTCAAACTCGATACCACATGGCTCACCTTGAAGTTATAACCGTCCGTGATGTATTTTTTGCTTTTTAAACAAAAAAGTATACCTCAGCTAATAGTTGCTATGTTCGTAGTATATTATTAGTGATTCTGAATTCGTGACATTACTTAATCTGTAGTGATAAGGATACATGGATGTAGTGATAATTAACAAACTACCAAAAATTTAAAAAAAATATCTTTGTTCCAGACTTTTATAATGCTTAATGGTTTTTACAAACGCATTGATCATATGATTTCACTAACAACTATCAAAGTAGTAAATACTTCGCATACATATTACTTTGACCTTGCCTTGGACTCCTGTCTAGCTGCATCGGTTGTCAAACAGAACATCAAGTTTTTCGGTTCGGTCTCTATACTGGCTAGGTCGATTAGATTTGCAGTTATAATGCTCAGCACCGAATCTAAGTAAATGTCCATGCAATATTTGGCAGGGTCATCTCATATTATGATGTAACCGAATTAGCTTTTTTGTGGGCCAAACCACTCTTCTTCCTAAGCTTAAAATTGTTAAAAGCATCAAACAACAATTAAGTAGAATAAACATAACAGCTCCACAGGCGTCCAGAAAGGAAAAACAAGAAAACATCACTCTGCATAAATAAAAAGAAACAGATAAAAATGGCTTATTTAAATGTTTATTTTATAATAAGACTTAATCCGCAGGTAGATAAGGCCGGTTCATTTACCTATCTAGATTAATCTTACATATATTTTATAGAAACAGCTACTAACAAACAATACCTACTAGTAGTGGAAAAATCGTTCCAATGGAAACTTGTAGGTTGTTACTTTGATTGTTTCAGCCTTTGAATTTAATTAAACTATGTTGTTAGGCTACTATAGATTCCTTGTGTATTGCTTCGCTATTTTCTGCGTATACTACTTTCCATGCATTACCTATGCATGGAAAGTAGTATTAAAATTTAAGTTATTAAGTATTTTGTTAAGTGGTTCAGAAAAGAACTTACAAAGGCGGGTTTATGAAAAATGCTTTATAGTCATTCGCTGCTCTGCTATAATGGTTACTACATTACATCAAATAGTGTTATTTTTTCGTTAATAGAATTAAAGTAATAAACAAAACATTGTTGCTTATTGGCACTGATTGTCTGTTGTGTGTTGTTAACGTCAATTTTTATTTATTTGTTTGCGTTGTACGTTGTAAGTGTCTACCAAATACCTATTATGTTTTATAGGAGTTTTATTAGATCAGACATTTTGTCTGAACGCTAGTGCATCTAAAGAGTTCAACCTCTCTCGAAATTAAGGTTATTATGTCGTGAACTATGTCGGTCGGTATACCTAAGTGTCATGTAACGGTATTACTATTGAACAGGACGGTGGCGCTGGCGGAAATTATTGCCGAATAGACAATGATCGCGTTGGTAATTTTACGCTTGCTAGTGCCGTAACAATGTCAGTGTCCTCTGCACTGCTTTTTACAGGTTCTAATTTATAGGTAAGCAGGTTTTAAGTAGTTTTTGCTCATTCAATTCTCACATTACATTCATATTTATATTTATTTGCATATTTTATTTAACAGTAGCTACTGTAATATGACGGCCGGTGTCCTCCACAAACGATATGACGCTAACGAGTTGGTCAGAGATATTATGTAACATACTTATTACATCACAGTAGGTAAACAACTACAAATAGGGTTAGTAGGGTTTCCTCTAGAATGTCTCAGAGTTGAATGACACGCGTACATTATTATGTACATACCTATCTCTGACTGTGATTAATACTCTACATAATTTATTGACGTTTTCATATTATAATAATGCAAAACGTTCGTGTTTTATCGATGTTATCATATAAGTAATTGAGATGATACGTTTTCGTAAATTCGCAACCGGTCCTATGGGTTATATGACCGTAAACAATCGAAAATCATTGCCAAAATGACTTCAGCTCCGCCTTGGTTTTTCCTTGTTCTTATTGTTAGGTATTCTATTCGCTGCCTATTTTTTTGTTACGCTGCTTTGTCCGTCGTGTCGTGTCTTACCGGTCTTTTTTCTTGTCTTCATCAATTTCATAAACATTTTTGGTTTACACGCCTACAGTACTATACCGCCTAATTCAATGTTTAAACTATTCGTACAGTGAAAGCTAGGCAAATCGTCAATATTGACGATCGCTTTCAACTCGTCATCACAGCTCTAGTATATTTGGTTCTAAAATTGGGCGTACTTGAGGAGTATAAATAGTTCTCAATCGATCTTAGAACTCTAGGTGATGTCAGGTGTGCATTTTCCCGCGGTACTAGAAATAACTTACAAAGCTTACGAAGTCTAGATTATACAGGTTGGCATTTTGAACGAGGGACATATTCAAGGAGTCGATTTGTGCTGAATTACAACAACTTTTTCGATGGGACCAATATCCAAATCTAAAAAGGAAATTTATTTCCCATACAAATCGCAACCGCTGAATGAACATTTTGCATGGAGAAGGAAAAAAATTTTTGAACTCTCCATATTGGTCTTGTGGAAAAAGTTGTTATATTTGAGCATCAGAATCGGCACCTTGTTGTAACCATGTATGCAGCGGTCTCAACCTGAACCAGGAGAAGTAACGATGTGGTTTTTTGTCAGTCAAAGCCTGACACACCCTCTCACCCCATCTAGGGCGGGAGAAGTCTTTATGATATTCGCCCAAAAATAGTATCTGACGTTACCTTTATTTTATTTGAAATGTTAAATTGATTTACCTAATGTTTAATCGCATTTTGGTACCCAAGTAGGTGCTGATTAAGCATAAATAAGTGTATTTTGCTTTACTTTTAAGCTAATAAACACTTTTGTAATATTAATGTTAATTTAGTGTCGCTGCAATATAACTATCAAAAGTCATCAATATATCGGATCGTGAAAGTTTTTTTTTTGTAAAAAACCATTGACCCTGCATTTAATGTTTCTAATAACCGTTACTTTGTTATCATTATATCATAAGATACGATTTCGTCACTGATAGCGATTATTGTAACGAGTGTAATCTGATCTTCGGCCTCAGATTCGTTCAGTCATTGGCATGCAGTGACTCAGACTGTGACTCAGAAAGGATATTGTTTTTTCAATATCCTTACAAATTTCAACATTGTGTACAGGCTTGAACACTTCCTGTGTACGGAGAGTTTGAAACTCCTACTTCTATACAGATGAAATGAACAAAAATCTTTTCGCACTTACATAAATTATTACAATGCCATACAAGTAGATACCAGCTTTTATTGCTTAATAGAATGTGTGGATGTGCTGTGCTCCAATTTACATACTGTAAACAAATCTGTTCCAAATAAAACAGAAGGTCGAACTGAAAACAACACATTATTGCAGATGCTTATTCAGCTATAAATAAATGGTGCAGGCGGTAGACGCATGTTCCTCTCAAATGGTCGACTTTCAAAAGCCATATGTTCCAACTGCAAACGCTTACAATGAGCTCTCTTGGATCGCACCTGCGTCCGTCCCGGTCCCACCCGCACGTGCTTATTCCAGCTGTTGTTATGGCGTACGCTCCCGACACAAAGATGTGCGCAAGATTTGCATTATTTCAATGCAATGCAAGACATTCCTTCCACTTGCCAAATATTTTCGCGATATAACTTCCAAGATATTTAAAATGTTGATTAGACAAGCCGATCTTGAAACTTGACCATTTTATTGACCTAATGGAACGAATTATGGAGTTATCGAGTACGAATTAAAGACGGGCTATTGGTGTGATGATCTCACCGGTCGTCAATCTTGACAATGCAAAGGACCGGTCGTCTGCGGGGCGCGGCAAGGGACGGGACGGGGACTCCGCTGCAGGGTTTGTGCGATTCACGGCGCACGCGGTACGACCCACAGTCACTAGTCAGTGCGACAGTTGGTCGCTCAATGCGCGTCGCGCGCGCCTCTTTTTCGAATTCCTTCAACATTCCTAAATTATTTGCTAGTCAAAATGAAGTTCAGTGTTTACGTTTATAATCGGAAGTGTTTGTGCAAATTTAAAAAAAGTGGATTAGTTCTCTAATCGTTACTTGCTACGCTCCAAAGAACAATGCTGTGGGAAAAAATAACGTTCAGCTGGCATCGGCAGTCGTTCCCAGCTACCTACCTTACCTCTCTCCCCGCGCCGGCAGGGTACCGGGTTCAATGCGCCTCTCTGCGTTTATTCATCGTTTGTGGGAAAAGTTGACCCCCGTTTTTAAAAATTATTGTTAACGAATTCACACGATTCGTATTGTAGTGACTACCGCATCTTAGATGATCGAATCGAAAGTTAGCTATACAAGAGCGTGTAGGTGCAACAGGTATTTAATTAAAAGCTACTCAAATGAAACTAATTCTGTGTAAAGTGATTAATGAGGCACCATCGTAAATACCAAATGTTTTTATGCGCCAACTGACAAGGTTGCAGCATTCCGCAGACCTAAACTATTTACTCTGGGCTTTGCGATGTTTGTCGAGTTTCAACTTCGTCGAAATTATTATCTTACTGTGTTGCGGATAGGACATTATCAGAGGAGGACAATACACTTACATTAGGCAACGTGTGTGATGTTAGTGAATGAAATGTTGAAATAGCCGTTGAATTTCGACGGAATTAGTGAATACGTCCGCCGTAATGTGAATAGTGACGACATCGAGTGATGTGGATGTAGTATTACTAGTGAAATAGAGATCCGCGTGTGAAGTTCAGTTTTGAAAATAAATAGTGTGGACACCTGACAATGGGGAATCAAGGATCTTCAGCGCACGAGCCATTCGACAGGGCGCAGGCGGCTGCCAATGCTGACCTTAAAATGGTACAATCATTTGATTATGCTTCATTTACAATTCATTATTCAACTTGAGTCATTGAATACATACTAATCTATAGTCGGTAGTGGTGTGGCCAACGTTTATTGTTCCTGCAGTTCCTACCTCACGTACGTTTAAATACAAACCAGATAATAACGAGTCCTGCGTGCTTAGCGTGCGCAGATCTAGAAGTCTTTGTACTTTGCCTGCCTAGTCCGCTGGCTACATCGCGCCATCGCTAGGTTCGAACAGGCGAAGTAACGTTCGAACCATTCGAATGTGAATAATCAATTTATACTAGATTCAACTTATGACGTCAAAGTTTTTTGTACACATTTTCACATAAAAGGTATAAGATGCGAATTTATATAGTTAATAGATACACACACATCGTCTGTTTACATTAAGCTTCTCGGTATTTAATTAGATATTGATAAAACTATTTAAATTACTGTTCTTATCTAATCAAAAAAATACAGCGTGAAATATTTTTAGTTTTAGTGTACGTAAACGAACAATGTGCGCATAGTTATCATGTCTGCAATACCTTTTAATCTGTGCAGCTGTTTGCCTACATACTTATAATTAATTACTAATTTACTACCTAAACCTACACCAACATTTCACGATAAGTAGATAATGTATGCCTTATTAAATAGGTACACCTGGCAGGTCGCGGTAACATCTGAATTCTTGTTACCTAATTGTATATCCTTTTGCAGCAAACTCAAGCGGTTGTGAGCGTTATACAAGAAATGTTATTAAATTCTTTTATATGTTTTGGAAGCCATAAAAAATGTGACGTGCCATTATTGCAAATAGATGCATTAGTACTTTCGCAATAAAATATATTCTATTACAATATTTGATATAAGTACCTACTTACTTAATATGGCACATACAAAATATTTTATAAATGACACATTGATTATTATGCTTTTACCAGCAAATAATTTTGCACCCTATTTCAAAGAACTACGATTCCTATTACCAGTGCTTAACTGAAGAGTCCACCTAAATGACATATTGACGAGTGTTAGTGAGTTTTAAGTACATACTTATATAATGAATATAATGGATTCATTATTAAATGCACATCTGTTTTGAAAGTGTGTCATTGTCGTTAGTAAATATGCCTGGGAACTAAATATTCGTCCATTCTTATGGTAATGCGTGAATATGTATGTTTATCCAATTTTTTTGTTATCCAAATTTTGGTTAATTTTTACGAATATAAACTTAAGTGTGGGCAAAAATAAATATTGTTCTATATTGTTTATTTGTGAAATAAAATGTTAAGATACTACTACTAAAAGAGGTTATTAGGTAAATACATTAACGTGAAATATAACATTATTTAATACCTAGATGCCTAGGAAACCTGTTTCTGTCTGTGATTTTTGGCGTGATATTTAGGTTTTCCTCGAGTAGGGCCTAGCAGAATGGAGGGGGGGGGGGAGGATTTGGTAGTTCGTAGAATACCAGGTTTTAGTTTATTTCAATCAAACAATGGTGATTTGAAGTCAGCATTGAAAAACTTACTTGAAAGTTTTGATGAGCTCATGAATAAGAGTCCCGCTATGACTTGAAACTAGTAGAGTGTTTCTCAGTTAATTCACGTGAATAAGTCGTTATTTTCAGTAAATTGAATGTTTTGGTCCAGCAATTTGCGAATGTTGAAGTTTATTTGCACGTTGCACACAAATAGGTATCGATCCTTCGTTTCTATCTCCCAAAATTCTTTCATTTGTGATTTTTAAAGTTAATGCCATTCGTAGATATGTTTAAAAAATCCTAATTTAATTCCTGTAAGATAATTCTCAATCAATAAGTTATTGTTCTTTGACTTCTGTACTAAGTTCAAAAAGGAAAATCCTCTGAATCACATTAGCGGTGAATGAAACCAAAATACAGGAAAATGATAAAAGATTATTGGAATTCCGCATCATTTCCTTGATTAGTATTCGGTTGTTGTAATACAAATTTCATCGTAAATTATCCTATCCAAAAATGAGTAATAACCACCGAATTTTTATCCTCACAATTATTTTTATTCCTCGTATGAATGCCAGCAATATTGAATGTAGACGATAAAACAAAAATCACGCAACCATAGTCCTTATTTCAATGGGAAGTTGGTGATTAAGCGTCCCAGATCACGGCTATAACGTTTCGTTCATTCGTTTTATCAAAGTTATCAACCTTTTACCGAAAACATTACTTCTGTTGGTTGTAACGTTACATCCACCTTTTCTTATCTCGAAACGAAACTCGATTGCGTTGATATTTTTATAATCTTGTGACTTGGTTTGATATCTTTGCCTACACAAGTGTTTTTTGTCTCATCCACTGCAACGTGGAGACTTTGAAGAGTTTGGACACGTGCCCCACTGATCGATTCACGTTGTTATTTATTTACATAGTTAACTTTACGCGTGATATTGTTATTTCCTCCCTGAAGTTTACTGAATCTTAGTAGTTTGATGTATCACCGCTACAAAGTTGTTAATGAACTTTATAAATCGACTGGTTGTTAATTTAGCAACTTTTCTCTCAGTGTATACTCAATACAAACTTTCTATTTATTTTAAGTACGGTTATTTACACAACTCTAGCTAACGTAGTATTTGAGTAAGCTAAGTAAGTGGGAGTAAGTTGATACTTTTATGCATGTCGTACATAGACCTGTGAATCAGCGTGAGTCTCTTCTGTGCCTTTAAGGCTTAAGTCATTCTGTCTCCTGCATTTAATTTACGAAGTGAAAACTATATCGTCACTTTCTTCTCCTCAAATAATATCTTCTGATTTATTTCGTTGCGGGATCCAAGACAGTCATTCACGTCCCTGGGACGCGCCGGACTTCAGTGTACCGGTGTTTTCATGGTTGTATCTACTGTAGATCCTGGCTTACAGAAGTTACATCGGTTTTGGGAGGTTGTGGGAGGCATGTCTCATTAAATAGATCTGTGAATCAGCGTGGGCCTGCGCAGCTAACTTATGAATGGAACGTCGTCGTAGTAGTCGTTCCTGTTGATACACTTTATCCTTAGTGTTGAAATGAAAGAGAAACATTATACAATTTAAATAAGCACTACCGTATCAATCAATACCAACAGTCCATCACTGTTATTCATTGTTGTTATTGTACGGGTTTTATTATTGAATTTGTGGAATCGACAGCTATGGGCATTGTTACGGTATGGTTGACGGTTGATGTATCATAGCGTGTACTGTTACCGTTACCTGGGACTGTTAGGTTTGGGTTGATGAAATAAAACTAAGTTTATTTATCAAATAGCAGAGGTGGAATTTATTATTATACTTTAGGAGGTGTGTGTTGCCTGAAGGCGTTAGCAGAACAGAATGAGGGCGAGATGCAAACATCTCAGTGAGGGTTAGCTGGCCACTTAAGGCACTTATAATAGTGGCGTGAGAATAATGAGTAGATTGATTTTTGTTATTCCAACACGCCCCCTCAAAAATTAATCTAAAATAAAATTAATTACAATCATAGTATCACACACCATCCTTTATCTGGGGTACAATCATTCAATGGTCCAACATTTGTTGCATAGGATTAGGGAAACCCAGAAAAACCTAATCAGACCATGTTATACTTATTCAAAATCTTAACCTAGTTAAGTATTTAATACTATAGATTTTATTCATATATGAAATATATTGTAATCTATTCTAATCCCAATTTCTCTCTCAACTGGGAGAAACGAACAGTGGGTAACTGTTTCGTTAACACATCAGCCAACTGGTTACCTGTGGACACATAAATTATTTTAATAACATTTTTCTCAACTTGTTCTCTAGAGAAATGATATTTGATGTCAATATGTTTTGACCTTTTATGACATGTCGGATTATTTGCAATGCTTATGCAACCACTATTGTCCTCATAAATAGGAATCGGATCCAGTATTTTAATGTCTATACTGGTTACTAAAGACTTTAACCATAGAGCTTCCTTTACGGCCTCAAATAGTGCCATGTACTCTGCTTCAGTACTAGAAACTGCTACTGTTGATTGCCTTTTTGTTTTCCAACTTATGGTGCATTGCTCAAATAAGTTAAACAAATAACCCGTAGTACTTTTTCTATCCACTTCATCAGAACCCCAATCAGAATCAACATAACCACTTAACGGTATTTTATCTGAATTGCTCCGACGATAAGTCAATTTTAAATCAAGCGTCCCTTTTAAATAACGAAGCACTCTTTTTAAGTGTGACCAAAGTGCATGGTTGCTTTTGTTAGCAAATCTACTCAAGACGTTTAGACTATAACTCAAATCGGGTCGAGTGCAAACCATAATGTAACTTAAACATCCGATAAGGTTTTTACAAGGGGCATTCATTGTTTCACACGAATTTAAAGCTTCGAAATCAACTTTAGTTTCAAGTGGAGTACTGACATGTTTACAGTCACTCATGTTGAATTTATTAAGGACTGTTTCTATATACAGTTTTTGGTCTAAAGTTATTCTGTTATTGCTTCTTTCAATTTTAATCCCCAAGAAACACTTTATTTCTTTCAAATCTACCATTCTGAACCTTTTCATTAAGTATTGTTTAAAGGTGTTCATGGTTTTGATATCTGCCGTTGCGATAACAAGATCGTCAACATATAAAATCACATAAATGTTTTTAGAAATATCACCTGCATCTAATATAGATAGACATCGGTCAGCTGATGAATATCGAAAACCTTTTTCAATCAAGACTTGTTCGAACGTTGCGAACCAACAACGTGCTGATTGCTTTAATCCATATAACGACTTATTTAATTTACAGACCAAGTTGTTATCTGTACATGGGATTCCTTGTGGTACTTTCATAAAAATCTCTTCCTCAAGTTTCCCATTTAAAAATGCCGTTTTTACATCCATATGATGCACTAGCAATCTATACTGATTCGCGAATGCTAAAATAAATCTGAAACTTGCTATTCTTGCAACAGGTGCAAACGTCTCATTATAATCAATAAGATATTCTTGATTGAAACCACGAGCTACTAAACGCGCTTTATATTTTAATGGTTTTCCAGATTCATCATTTTTAATAGAAAATACCCATTTACAATCAATGATATTTCTGTCAATAGGTTTTTGTACCAGGGTCCAGGTTTCATTTTTGAGGAGTGAATTAATTTCCTCTTTTATAGCACTTTCCCATAAATGTCTATCATCCCTGGATTGGATTTCATCAAAAGATCTAGGTATAGAACATACTAATGATTGTGCATGCAGCAAATAATTATTTGATAGATCATCTTTACTGTCATCATAACACACTTTAGGTATGTTTTTAATCCTTTCACTCCTTCTTAGATTCGGAGATGTTTTATCATCTTGAGATATTGTCAATTCATTTGGAAATGCAGAGTCTGAGTACACATCTGTTTCACTTACAGATTTATTAGATGGTGGATCTAATGACATAGGTATTTCGAACGTTTGTCTCATACAACTATCTGATTTCATCTTATCAGATTTTTGCACCTCCCAACCATTGGAGTGCTCGTCAGATTTAATGGAATTTTTACTCACAATTCCTTCAGGCTTAACTGGCCTACTTGATAAGAAATTAATCTCATCAACCATTACATCTCTGACTTTCACAAACCTTTCGTCTACCAGTAACCACACCTTATATCCATTTGGTTCATATCCAACCAGGATACCTTTTGATGACTTTTCATCAAACTTATGTCTTTTTGTCTTATTCATAAAATAAACAGTTGAACCAAAGACTTTCAAATACTTAAGTTGCGGCTTTTTACCATGCCACAATTCAAATGGTGTGTTATCAACTCTCAGTGCTTTTGTGGGTGTGATATTTACTAGATAAGTAGCAGTTAACACAGCCTCACCCCAGAATGTTTTCTCTAATTTCGCACCGGACACCATAGCCCGACTGCGTTCCGTTAATGTTCTTATCATTCTTTCTGCTACACCATTCAAAGCTGGCGTATGCGGCACTGTTAAATGGTAGCTTATACCTTTTGTAACACAGTACTCTCTCATTTCTTTCGATAAATATTCACCACCATTATCACAATATAAATTGACAATACTCAGGTTAAAGTGTGCCATACTTTTTGTTGCATAATCCCGAAAAGCAGTAAAAACATCTGATTTATGAGCTAATAAGTATGTTGCACAATAATGAGTAAATTCATCGACAAAAACGACAAAATACTTTTTGTTGTCAAGTGTCGAAGGAGTGACGGGACCCGAAACATCTGTGTGCACCTTAAATAGTGGTCGTTTTGTTACCTTTGGCTTTGATTTGTTAAATGGTAAACATGCTTGTTTTCCATAAATACAAGCTTCACATAAGTTGTCACATGGCTTAATATGACTTATTTTCTCTATATCAGAAAACATTTCTTTATGCTTTATTTGCATAAATTTTGATTTACTAATGTGGCCTAAACGTTGATGCCACAACTCATAGTTATTTACGACTCTATTTAAAGAACACACAACAGACCCTTCAAGTAAAAAGTTAATTCCAATTAAATTGTTCAAACACTCACCCTTTGTTACCAATGTCTTACCCGTGTCGAATATTTGTACGCTTCCATCTTTGCCAAAAATAATTGTCATACCAGCTTCTTGCATTTTCTTTACTGAAAGCAAGTTGTATGGAATATCTTTACAGAATAAAACATCCTGTAATATACCTTTTAATCCCAAGTTACTAATAACCGGTAAGTTTCCCTTTCTTGTAGCCTGGATGTAAGTACCGTTCTTCGCCACGGAGATATTTACTGGTTTTTCTAATTCTGTAAACTTTTCCGCTAAATCTGGCCTGTTGATGAAATGGTCTGAAGCGCCAGAGTCCAGCACAAATGTAATTGTTTCTTGGTTATAACGTTTTATGGCATTTGCTCCTACCATAAATGCAAATCCGGATATGTTTGGATCAGTTGTTTCAGTATTCACTACTTGTATTGTTCGATGGTATTCAGGCTTTTGAAACCGTTCAGTTGCCATCTTGTTGTAATAACAGTTTTTCATAATGTGACCTTTTCTTCCACAGTGGTGACATTTCACGTTTTTAGATTTATAATTTCTTTTAAATCTGTTATTAAATAATTGTTGACCCCGTTTCTGTTGATGATAGGTCGCATTTGGGAATTTATTTGTTTTTGAAAACGACGTAGTCTTAGCTTGTAATACTTTTAAACTTGTGTCTCGATTTTCATTGTTTAGTTTAATTTCATGGTCTAGCAATCTAGTTTTCACGAACGTCAAGTTTAAATTTTCTTCGGCTAAAGTTTCAATCGCAGTAATAACACTATTATAAGAGTTGGGTAGTGTCATGAATAAATGCGTTATTTTATCGTTCTCATTTAACGTTGCTCCCGCCGATACTAGTTCGCATATTAAACCATCAAAATTTTGAAAATGCTTTACTAATTGGTCTTCTTTAAACTTCATATTGAGAAGTTGTTTTCTCAAAGTTAACTGATTAGATGTACTATTTCGCTCATATATCAAATCTAATTTATTGAAAATGTCTTTAGCTGACGATTGTTCAGTAACTAAACCGAGTAAGGTGTCTGATAAATATTCTACCAAAATATTTTTCGCTATTTTGACACTTTTAATCCACTCAGTATTAGGTTCGTTTGGCGATTCTTCATCGATCACATGAAGTACATTAAGTTCACTTAATAGATTACGAATTCTTAATTTCCAAACACTATATCTTTCACCGTCGAATTGTTTAATGTTCCGTTTCAAGTTGGAGCTGTCCATTTTCACTGATTTTAATTTCACAGTATATTTATAAAAATAAAGTCACTTAAAATTTATTAATTGTCTTTTAAAAGTATTTACGATACTTCTAACAATTATTATTAATTACACTGTACTTTACTGCACTGCACTGGTGCACTGGTGCACTGGGCCCATAACCTGTTAGGTTTGGGTTGATGAAATAAAACTAAGTTTATTTATCAAATAGCAGAGGTGGAATTTATTATTATACTTTAGGAGGTGTGTGTTGCCTGAAGGCGTTAGCAGAACAGAATGAGGGCGAGATGCAAACATCTCAGTGAGGGTTAGCTGGCCACTTAAGGCACTTATAATAGTGGCGTGAGAATAATGAGTAGATTGATTTTTGTTATTCCAACAGGGACCTCCCATCAGCATTTATACTTAATCATCCTACTTACTCGTACAACCAGTTCACTCTTACTAGTGATTGGAGAAATAATATTCACATTAGCGTAACGTTACACGGCACGCATCGCGCGGTTACGAGGAAACGCGCATCAATGAACTCCTCTATACGTATGTTATGATGTGTTTTGTTTACCAAATATAAGATTCATATTTTATAGCTTTTTGTTTATTATGACTACTTTTGTAACACAGCACGTTATGGTTTTCAGAAGTCGTCTGTGCGCGCGTCGTTGCGACGAGCCCGCGCGGGCGCGGCTCTGTCCCCGCCTCGCGCCGGCATGGAGCGGCTGCGACGCTCGTTCCGGGAGTCCTTCCGGAGACGCAAGGGTTCGCCTCCAGAGTCAGCACGGCCGCACCAATGGCACGCAGACGAAGCCGCGGTGCGAGCCGGCACCTGCACCTTCCCCGTCAAGTACCTCGGCTGCGTAGAGGTGTTCGAATCCCGCGGCATGCAAGTCTGCGAGGAAGCGCTTAAGGTGCTTAGGGTGAGTTTTAACCTTTTTATCGCTGGGCCTCGCGTATCCGAACCATACCCTGAGCGCCAGCTAAAAGAGATCTAATTTAACCGTCGACCTTAAGGGTGGATGAATATTTTATTTTTATGTCGGTGGTGGGCGCTGTCGGCTATTGTCGACTGGCGGTGAAAAGGTTAAATAGCATTCGTTACTTAGGAAAATGTAGAATGTGATCAGTGAAGTTTGAATGCATGCGTTTACTTAGTGAACTAACTTTAGCATTTTATGCGCATACTGTTGCGTATAGTTCATATATACTCACAAAATTATATCGCTGAGACAGATTTAGCAATGTAGTTATGGATGGTAGATACACATATTGTGCGACCTTGTACAGACAACTGTGAAGTCGGTGTGTGACGAGAACGAATCAATGCGATGCTAAATGTTCTCCCACCTCCTTCAGTACTTGTGTAGAGGTTGTTTGATGCATCTTGGCATGTTTACGTACCACACAGCGATGATTGCATCGCTGTCTTCAATCTGTAGCTATAGGATCACAGATCAAAGATCACACAGTAACATTGAACTATGTCAATACGTATAATTAACTAACAAAAACACGATTATAGGAAACTAAGTACTAACTCCATTATCCGTTTTTGCGCATTTAAATAAATGACTAGCATCTTTAGAATTGAGATTTTGTAATAGTGCTAACAAAGGCTGTACTAAAATAACCCACTTTCATAATAATAGGTTCACAACACTAACCTGAATTACAAAATACAATAAACATCCTTTGTTATGAAAATGTTTTTGTTGGTGAATTCAAATGATTCACTAACAAATGAATAGACTGCCTAACACATAGGCGTAGGTGTAGCTGATTATAGACTGCCGGATTTGTTAAATGGTCTTAAGAATGAGCGAGCACACCTCGAAGAGGGTCCGAGTCTTACAAATAGTGGATTGCGCAGTGGCTGGGTAACTGGCTGCTGTGCAACGTGTCGCAGGATCGTTCTTGTACGGACCAACACTTTGGCTTGTGTATGAAGAACGAGACACACTTTTACTGGTAGTGCGCCCAATGTCTTATTATCCACAGATTGTTGTTCCGGGTCTGGGTGTGATATGTGCATGTGAATTTGTATGTTTGTAAACGCACCCATGACACAGGAAAAAATCTTAGTGTGGGGCAAAGTTTTATCTAAAAAAAATTTGAAATTATTGCTGTTACATAGAATAGAATGAACCTTACCCGGTAAGACAATATACCCAATATTTTTTTTTTTTTAGAATTAAAAACGTTGCCCCACATTAGGATTTTCTCCTGTGTCGTGGGTGCGTTTACAAACATACAAATTCACATGCACATATCACACCCAGACCCGGAACAACAATCTGTGGATAATAAGACATTGGGCGCACTACCAGTAAAACTGTGTCTCGTTCTTCACTGAATAAAGCAGTCATTATTAGCATCTATGTTCTATTGGCAATTCTTAGTACTTGTGTGTCACCAGCATCAGGAGATTGCTAACATTTTTATTATAAACACGTACGGCCCAGATATTTTTAGCCGTCCTACATGTTTGCTGACACGTATATTTTAATATTTAGTATAACTAAGTAGTAGAGACTTTCTGATATGCTTAGCTACTAGTTGTACTTTATCAAGGAGCATATGAGGGCTATCGTAAATACAACAGTGGTTGTGGGGTAAGCGCAATGAGGAACCTCGGCCTCGGCCTAACGCAGGAGTAGGAATGAGACGCGGACGGTTTTAGTCAGTAAGAGCCTGACACACCCAGGACGGGAGAAGTCAATTGATGAATATTCCGACCTCAAAAAAAAAGATATAGTGATCACAAGTGTCAAGTCAGCAAATAATCGAACATGTACGAGTTGCATTAAGTATGCAAAATTCACTTAGTAATCTGAGTTTCATTGAGCCGAGGGTTTCAATCATTACGACTTCTATTTTAATCAAACGCCAAGCGAGCGCCGGCGTTCACATATTGTCTTACTATTGTGTTTCTAATTGATTTAACGGACACGATTCGAAGGTTATCTAACGGTTGTATGCGAATTTTTAGTAAAATTAAGAAAATTTTAATTTGATATTGAACATGGGCCTGGTTATGATGACCGAAGGTCTATAATAAGATGATAGTATAAAAAGTTATATAAGTATTTTGTAATATAAATGTTTAACAAAAAAGAGAATAAAATACTGCACAAAATGACTAAGATAATAATATCTAGGAAACACTCATTCGTATTACACTGTAATGACCCCGACATCATGATTCATATCGCCACAAGGTAAATTAACGTTACCACACATTCTACGCAGATGCAACAGTTATAGGAATTTCAAATTAACTCAAACAAGTAAAATTACCTTATTAACACTACCTATTAATTAATTAACGCATTCCATACATAGTAAAAATGGCATGTTGCTTAAATATGTTTCTTAACCAAATTTTTTTGACTGTTAAATTCAATAACTTTGTGGTTGAAAAATGCAAATCTAAAATTAGATTGATTCAGCAAAGAAAATATTTTGTGACTGGTTACTGAGCGATATTTCACAGACTCGACGCTCGAATGAATCTAAAAATATTTTTAATTTTTTTTTCTGTTCACACACACAGCAAAATAAAAAAACAATGGAGAAAAATGTCCTAAATACTAAATGCGAAGTTATTGGATTTTATAGTCTAAACAATCTTGCTAGGGTATATTCTCTATTAGCACGGTAACGTTACAGAATTCCCGTCGTCGTCCAGTGCGCGCCGTGTTGCACGTTAGTGGTGACGGGCTGCGCGTCGTCGAGGAGGAGACCAAGGGCCTCATTGTAGATCAGACTATCGAGAAGGTGTCATTCTGCGCGCCTGATAGGAACCACGAGAGGGGCTTCAGGTATTTATACATTCTTATTTTTTTATTGAATACTATTCTTTAAACCCAGCTCCTTCCGTAGAACTTTATATCCATATTGTTTATTGCATTCTTTAAGTTAAAAGTGCATAAGGTTGAAAAGGAAATATAAAAAAATGTCTCAATTATGGACCCTGATGGGCTCAGTAAGCTAATAATTAGAAGAGAGGAAGGCGTTTTATGATATTCATATATTATTTAGTTAATACAATAAGACTATAATTTTCCTAGTGATAACATTTAAAGTGACGTTGATAATATAAAAAATCGTTCTTACAACCGACAAACAACGACGTTTATTTCCATTATTGAAAGATACACTTATTAAAATAAGCACGTGTCTTAAATATTTGTGAATTGTAAATAAATAATAATAATAGACATTGAGTTTACGTAATATCTATGTATTCAAACATCTGTTTACAATAACACTCGCTAATCGACGTAGTATGCGTAGAATAAAGACAATAGTCCAGAAGGTACTTCTATTGTTTTGGAGTCGTATTCAAAATAAGGAAATATTTTAATACAAACATTAGTTCCACGTGTGTGAGTATTACTAAAACTCATATGTAATTCATCGTAAAGTCACGGTGTCCTGGTCAAATATGAACGTGAATGTCTGCCAATAACAGACGCGCCTTTATTTTTGTTTTGCTCGTATCACCCAGCCTTGTGGTTGGCCTTCCAATTACATATTAGCCGTCTCACATTGTTTTGCTGTGTCTTTTAGTAATCTTCTAAACTTAGACTAGTTGTGCTCAGAATCAAAGGCAATTTTTAATGTTTGATAATCAAAACTACGAGTAGGTATATTAAGATGACTGAGGGCTGATTTTTCAATGGTTAGATAAAAGTTACCTGGGGAATAATTGTGATGCTGTCGCATCAGAATGTTTGTATAAGAAAGTGACAGCAACATTTTTATTCACTCAGATAACATTTATCTGACTATTAAAAAATCAGCCCTAAGGTAGAACAATTCCTCAGTTAAATAAATTAGGAATTATGTTTACAAATAAAGCTACGTACCGAAAACTAGTCATTTAATAAGTTACCTCGTTTTAACTTTAGCTTCGTTTTATATATATATATATATATATATATAGCCTTATAAACATTTCTGTTTTGTCATTTCCAGTTACATATGCCGTGACGGCACGACTCGACGTTGGATGTGCCACGGTTTCCTAGCGTCCCGCGACAGTGGTGAGCGTTTGTCTCACGCGGTCGGATGCGCGTTCGCGGCGTGTTTGGAGCGTAAACAGCGCAGGGATAAGGAATGCGCCGTCTCTATGAGCATCGACGCCGCGAGCCATGCGTTCACCAGGCAGGGCTCCTTCAGGAAATCTGGTTAGTAATTTAACTGATACTTTTTGTTTTTCTCCTGAGTCATATCACAAGTGAATTAGTTTCGCCGCTTCGCGCTTAACTTTATGAAGACGAACCCATCTAAAAATCTAAACGAACATTGTTTTATTTTAGAAGCCAAATGAAAAAAAAAATATTCTGAAAGCTGTTATTATTAAAATGCGGATTGGTTAATTCAAACTTACAATTAGAAATTATAAGTCCAGGTTCCTTCACGATATTTTCCTTCATTGTTTATCAGTGTTGTCTAAATTTAATAAATATTCTATGAATGACATTAATTCTCTTTTCAGGCATAACTCCACGACGTGCTTCGGAGGCAGATGCCAACAACAGTAATGGGTCGGTGATAGTGCCGGTGGGGTCGCTGGGCGGGGTGCCGAGCGTCCCAGCGTCGGTGGCAGTGGTCCAGCCGGCGGCCCCCCGCCCGACGCCGCACAACCCCTTCGCGGTGGAGCGGCCGCACGCCGCGCCCCATCTACTCGAGCGACAGGGGTCTTTCCGTGGATTCGCGCATCTTAACAACAGGTTTGTTACATATTTTTATATTTTTTTAAGAGCAGACGTATAAAAAATTATTTGATGGAAATACAAAGGATCGGCCTAAGCAAATTATAAATAAAACTTAATTTTAGAAACAAAATAGATGAATTGTTTATGTTGCAAAACTTTTCTAATAAAAATGTCATATTTCCAGTTCTCCATTCAAGCGGCAGATGTCACTGCGTATCAGCGAGCTCCCCTCGAACTTGGAGCGTCAGCGCGCAGGGCTGGGCTCTCCCACGCGGGCCGTCGCTGCACCGGTAGCTGTCGCCGAGCCGAGGCATGAAGGAGTACCCGCACAGGTATATTCAGTTTATAGGCTTTAAACTTACTAATATGTTATATGCAAAAGTAACGAAGTTCGGATGTTTGTTACGGATTTGGATGAAATTCGGCACAGGCATAGGATTCACTCCGGAATAGGACATAGGCTACTTTTTATTAACATACCACGGCGGCAAATCCGCGGGCGGAAGCTTGTATGAAATGTAATATACAAGTAAATGCCTTAATAATCATAGGATACTTATCTAGCAAAATATCGTATACGAGTCTGTGTATTGTATTGTTGCAGGCAGAAGTACCGTCAGCGGACCCGGTGGCGGCGATGTGCCAGCAATTGTCGGCGGGGCTGCGCGCGCTGGCGGAGGAGCCCGCCGTGGCGGGCGCCGAGCCTGTCGCCGCGGCCGGCGCGCTGCCGCACCCCGACGCGTGGCTCGGCCGCGTCGCGCAGGCGTCGCCGCTGGCGCCCGCGCCGCGCGTCGCGCAGCCCGTGCGGGCCCCCCCGCTGGGCCAGGCAGGTCGCGCCGCCTCGTACGCGGGCCGCGCCGCCTCCACCAACCCGTTCCTGTCGCCCGGGGACGTGGCCCCGGCCCTGTAGGGCGCGCCCCGCGCTGCACCGGACCAGCTCCTGCTGGTGTTCGACTGAAGTCCGGGACTGGCGCCCCCGTCCCCCCACACGACACGGTATCTGTCGCTCAGCAAATATTCTGCTTCCGTCGTGAAGGACTGGGACAGGGCTCAACGAAATCCAGTCCACGTTGCGAGTCGTGCAGCGCGCTGTTATAAATCAATCCTATTCGTAACCACAGCTGGTTACTGTCACATGTACCACTTGTCTATCTATGTAGGACTTACTATGAATGTACTAGCTAGAGAGCAGAGCGTTCTCTTGCGCTATCTTGCTAAAACCATGTACTTATTGCACTAATCGATCGATGTCGTCATACTTAAAAAGTAAAAAAAAAACAATAAGTACTTATACTTGTTTCGTAGTAAAAGAGTATGTCTAGCTCACTACTCGTGTTATTTTTGTAATAATATTTATAAAACGATGACTTAAAATGAGATGGATGGTGTCCTTCAATACGGTTCAAGCAAATGTTCCTTTTAGTAAATTGAATATACACATCGTTGCAGTATACGTCGATGTTGTTATTCACTGAGTATTGCTATTGTAATTGACAAACATCAAAAGTTAACGAGTTAGGCGTTGAACGGCTGGCTGTCGATCCTCTAAATACGAGTGTAAACATCGCGGCTCCAAACGTGTTCTTATTACAAAGTATCATTAATATACTGTTTACTATCTTGCTAAAGCACTGATCACATTACTATTAATAATATCTTTGAATGTTGGTAGCGGTTAAAAGACCGGAATGTATGTTAGACATGATCCTTATTTATACGTAACTGAAATGAGTATGCTTATGTTGCCAAAGTGACTGGTACTGGTACAAAGTACTTGTGCGTCGTAACGGGCTTGCATTGATAGGATACAAACAATATGATTGAAACAGTTTGACAAAGATTATCTCGGGACGATTGTTATTTTTATATAAAAATAACCGGTGCGAGAAATTGACGGAATTTAAGAAATAAATGAAAATTAAATTTTGTGTGATGATTAGCTTAATTTATATAATATTGTACTTAACTCTATAGTGAATCGCACCGTGCTTTCGCGCCACACGCCACTACTCTTGTGTATGTTAAAATGTTCGTCTTTTAATACGTAAGTTTATATTAATTCCATAAAATTCGTCCATACAGTATTAGTCGGGCCGAGCGGATTATCTAAACACTGTACAACAACAAACAAACGAACAATGCAGTATTTTAATATTAAATCATTTTTATGTAAAATAGGATTTTTGATATATTTTTCCTTTTTTGTATATAATTGTAAAGTTGTAAGCTATTTATCTCTTCATCATTCGTGGATCTGTTTTTTATACTTTTTTATTACATTTTTTTCTACACTGCTATAATTAGTAGGTGTTTGGAACGAACAAATGGTAATTGTCATTTTCATGTTAGTCATTTGAAAAATTTGCGTACTTACTTTATACAATTTAATTAATAATAATTTAGTTAATAATTTACGTTATGATGTTATAGTTTTCTGTTATGTTGAGCCAGCTATCTTAAGTATAGATTACATGATTAAATCAATATATGTTGCTGTAAATAGTTTTGTCGCATCTTGTATTATCGTCTTGATTGAAGTCAAATATAATAGGGACATGATTTGGTTATGAAATAATTATTTAGCGAATTTAACACAAAATCTAACCGCACACATTTATGCCGTGTCTCCAGTATAATGTTTTAGTATATATCTTAATACGGGGCCTTCAGTGTGCAATCATAATGTTACGCTTAGTTACGGCCCCGTCACAACACGGCCAAGTGGAAAGACCTTAATCGCAATTCAAATTAGTTGCATATCTACATTCCAGTATACTTTGAAAATAACACAATGTAATTGATAGATTGAATAGATATAATGCATATCACAAGCTAGCCTTGCATAAATTATACGCACTTATGTACTTACGAATTGTAAAACTTTAATAAATAGTACTTAAACTTATTGAAAAGATCTAGATAGTATCCTTGTAACCGAAATTGATGTTGTTATAATGTAATGCAGCTTTAAAGGCACCTATATTTGGATACATTTAAGCGTATATTCTGAATGTCCTATTTAACTATCTGTCTATTAGAATACAAACGTCATATAATGAATATTTGCAGTATGTTTCTGAATGTTTTGTAGTTCTCTTTCCGAAATAAATCTATTGTAGCGATGTACAGATATGAAATTAAATGGAAATATTTATGATACTGTAAATGTATTAACATTTGACTACGTCTAAGTGCACATTATATCTTCACTAGCACCAATAAGCGAGTTTTAAAGTTATCGCTGTTATACAAGTACATTAGATTCGTAGTTATAAATGAGTAGGTCATTCCGGAATATATTTTCGTGTGCTTATATTGAACTATTGGAACCGTTGTACTTAAATATATGAAAAATCACGTTGTTATTGACCTTTTGTTGGGTGTTATTTGTATATTATACAGTGATTTTATCTTTGTCTAAAGCATGTAAATATTGGCGTATATATGTAGATATATTAGATAATGAGAGTTCAAATATTATAAAAAATAATAAATTATGTTTAGTTGAAACATTTCTTTTATTTAATTCACAAGTTGTTGTTGTTGTTGTGTTGAATACGACAGCGTGAGCTCATAAAATGTTAGTTATGAAATAGCACCATTATAAAAATACTGAAATATGCACGTAAACCACAGATCAAATTAATACTTGTCCTGTGGTTAAATATACACAAAAACGCACTCTTTTCACTCAGTCATTCTGTTCATCCGAAGTCGGTTACCTACCTTTTTTACTCATACTTTAGACATACCATCGTTCATTTTCATAGAAACTCAAATAATGTCGTATTCCCAATTAACACTTTTTTATATAATGGATAATTATGGAAGTTTACTTCGGAACACACGATGTATTTTTAAAAGGAGGTCATTCGTTGTTGCAACTTTATCAAACTCCAAAACCTATATAAAAGCAGTCAGTAATCTCAACTCAAATGATGCATAACATGGACGTCATCAGGACTTTGGGAAGGTTCATATAAGTAATTAGTCAAGATATATTTATCTCTTCATTTTAGATACCTTTTGTAAATTGGGCCAAAATTGGTTTAGCTCTTAAGCTTTATCTTCTTTCTTCCTTGATTGATGTCACGGGAATAGCGCAATACCGCGGCGTTAACAGACTTGGGTCAGGAGATGGAACGGGAGAATTTTTAGCCAATTAGAGTCTGATATTCCCTCTCGTCCCATTCAGGGCGGTAAATGACATTAGATGATTTACCCCCTAAAAATAATCTTAATTCCATATATCGAAACTCAATACTCTGATATTCACAGGTTTTACGTTAGTTTTTACCTTGACCGGATGATCACTCACACTCAGGTAAACACTTTTTGGCTGAAACCAAGACTTTATCGAGTTTTAGTTTTAATTTACAAATGATTTGTCATGTCATACATGTAAATGCTGATGCGACAAGGGAAGTAATTGTCGAACAGCGCGTGCATCGTCGTGCCAATACTGTTGTCTGTAATGAGGAATAGTGTGAATGAGTGTATGGGGGACGAGTATTGATAAAAAAACGCAAGTTGGTTTGCTGCACCACTTTATTCATTTACGGGTACATGAATACATTAGTCAACGGCATAAACTCCAGTGCCTACGTACTACCTAAACAACGTATTATATTGTCTGTAAATTATTTCTCTATACACGACAGGTCAGGTGACTAAGAACATTCACTTACACCTAATTGTTATAGTAACCTTGCTACAGACACTAAACGACCCAATAAGTTACCTAACTTACATAGTTCAAAGCAAGATTATAGTATTTCAAACTTCATAATAACCATTTCATTTATTCAAGATAAACTTTACTAATTTCATTTTATTTTTTTGACTTTATAAAATATAGAAAACTGCGAATGCATATTTATACAACATTTACTTCGGCAAGATCTGTGGAGAATATTATAATTTTATAATCTATTGAACAGTTACAATTCTTTAAATATTAAACATTTTATTCTATGGACATACATTTATATTAATTCTTGTCGCCAAGCAGGAAAGGTATTAAGTTCCGGCTGTGAGCTATGCATATATGCTACCGATTACATCTTCAAATAAACGATAGAACTAACGAGTACTATTTAGATTTTAAACATACGTTCATTTATCATTATTAGCGAAAATAATTTTGGTATCGAAATCCGTTATCAGTGGAAGGAATTTGTACAATTTCCGTCAGCAAGGTTAATTTATTATTATAATCCCGAGTAGAACACATATGCATAGATAAAAAATTTAGTAGGTGAAGACAGTTCCATAGTACCCTGTTTTATGTAAACAGTGAAAGTATGAAAGCACTACCTATTTCTGTTGGTCATACATACATTGGGATATTGGTTAACTGTTATATGATTAGTTAGAATACACTTATGTATAGCTCCAGCATAATAGACAATTATTATGATCGTGTTTGTAATACATTCTATTGTAGGACTGCATTGCGCAGCCTTGTACGTATGCGACTAGGAATGTTGCATGTAAATGCGTAAGACAGGAGCTCAAGCGACACAAACATAACACAAACTCAATAATAAATGGATATATCTTGCACTACAATCTATGCGAGGAGCGATACATATAACACTCACAGATAAATAAAATATAGGTACAAAAATATGACTAGCACTAATTTATATTCACATGAAATTCCATCGCAACTCTGGATATGGAATGAATTTATACATTTAATGATGCAGCTAATTGATTTATCAAACTAAATATCATATCACAATTTCAAAAGTAATATCTTTCTAATTTGACTTTCAACTTCTAATTCGATTTTAAACAAATAATTCAATAATTTATAAAATATACAAACTTATAAACTTCGAGATTACTGAGATCTATCTTAAATAAATAAATAATTAAAAATAATAGTTGTACAATTACCTAATCGTATTAATACTGTGTTTTTATGAAAAAATAAGCAGCACCGTACAAAATATATTTAATAAATAAGCTGGTTATAAAATAGAAATAAAAATAAAATATAAAACAGCGCTCATAAAGTTTTATAGAAAATAACTTTGGCTATAAATACAACGAAGATGCAACAATTAGTACTATTAGGAAAATACTAGTTGGATGTGGGTACACAAAGTTAGTCTAATATAAATACATTTATATATTTAAGAACGCAAATGGCGATGCTGGTAAAACGATATACATTTTTTTATGTATTTGCTTAGTAATATAATTGCCTCGTGGTATGATAACACGCTAGCTCACGATTATCATTATTTATGATAACAGCTATGTCTTTATTCGGGAGGAATCTTGACAACATTACCCTACATAGACATATTTTAATTCCTCATAATATGAATAGGCACACCGTAACGTCTAGTACGTCGAATATATTATTTTTAAGTTCATATACATACTTAGATTGTTTATAGTACAGTCAATAACATGTTTTTAGATTTGTTATTGAAGCAGTTAGTTGTTTTAAAATATAAGCGCAATTTATTTTGGTTGTTATTGACTGTATCTACTGCATTCACGATACGGTTATACCACGGACGCGTGGACATGAGATTACTTACACCTCGACTTGGAACAATTAAATAGATAACATTAATTTTTCCGTCATAAAAAAAAAAAGATTTTGTCAGCTAACGTTGTCATTATTGACTTTACATTTCAAAGAATACATCGCTTAAAATATTGATGTATCTTTTAATTTCGGGTGTAAGATGTAGTAAACAATGAAGATGTTAATAGGGTTAATCGCATCACCTTAGAGGATATAATAGTGTATGGGTGTAGGGCGGTCTACCGCGCAGTGATGTTGTCGTGGCAGCGCTGACAGACCCGGACGGGCCTCAGCGCGCGCAGCCTGCGTACGGGCGCCTCGTACCGCGAGCAGCGCCCGCAGAAGACGGCGCCGCACTCGCGGCAGTGGTGGCGCCGCTCCAGCGCTGTGAACCGCACCTGCAGGGACACACTTCATTTTACTCCCAATTATACAACCATGTCAAATAATATGTTTGATAATCATTATATTTGAATGTAAATAAACTGTCTACGACAGTTTGATTTTCACGACGAATCTAATTGAATCTTTGAAGTTTTCCCCAAATCTATCTCACTTATTTAAAAATCGTTTCAAGTTCCTTACAGTTGAATCCAAAAATTATTTTTTTATACTCTGAAAAAAGTAAGAACATAAATTACTTGTGACTTCACTATGACGGGAACTATGGAGTGTATAAACTTCGAAGGCTTAATGTTTCCATCCTACTCTCATCGATGTAAGTTAATTAATTAATTTAGACTTGCTGTATGCACTATAACTTAACCTACCTGGCATTGTGTACAGTAAGGTGCCGTATCGTCTCGAATCCAGTGGTCGGCGGGGCCGCCCTTAGCTCCCGCCGCGCTCGACATGTCAGGGGCAGACCAACGGAAGATCTGTCAACAAATTACAACATATTCAACTGTTTCACTGTAATTTAAATATCGTAACTGAAGGATTTTTATAAGTCTTGTATAATTGGACTAGTCAATAGTATAAAAATAAGAAAACCCAACCCTCAAATTACTTTGAAGTCAATAATAGATCAAAAATAAATATTTTGACTTTTCAATACAGTAAATTATTAAAATTTCATCATAATTTCATTCATTGATTTGACGATATACTTAAATTTATAATTTTTTTAGTTACCTTTTAAAAGTAATTGTAAATAATATGTTTGATGTAAAAAGATTATGAGAACGAGATCTCATACAAAATTCATAGAAAAATTTCGTTTTTGACATTTAAATAAAAGTATTGAATTTGAGTTGTTTCGGACCACCGAATCACAGAAGGAAACAATTGCTTTAATAAACAGGTTTCTTCTACTTCTTCTATAGTTTTTTAATGCTATCTGCTAGCATTAAAAAACTGTAGAAATTGAAGTGTATATTTATATATTATATATATAAATATACACTTCAATTTCTATATATTATATATATATATTTATATATTATATATATAAATATACACTTATTTATAACTATATTTATAACTAAGCATGAAGATACATGAATAAGTGTGCATTACCCGTCCCCTGGCGTCCCCGACAGCGAGCCCCCGGCCGCTGCGGGCGGCGGCGACGGCGGTGACGGAGGCGGGGCACGCGTTGTCGCGCCGCTCGTACGCCGTGTGCATCGTCAACTTGCCGCGGAGGACCAGCCGACGGATCCACTTCATGCCTGATTCTGTAAGATTTATAGTATGGTCGATTTTTTTTTCATGTAATAGGGCCTCAAACGAGCCTGCGTATTACCAGGTGGTAGGAAATCAGCGCCGCCGATGGACACTCGTAAATACCAAAGGAGTTACTACAAGAGCGTTGCCGACTTCTTGTGGGGTATTAGGGATTTAAAGATAGGGGATTGAGGATGGGGGTGGGGAGAATTATGTGGGAATTTATTTTTATTTATTTTATTATATTAGGCAGTAAAATTTCCAAAATGCAACATAACATTGTTACTGAAATAGATATACCAAGTTTAATTTTTAAACAGTCCCCCTTCGGGAGCATCAGTGATGAACCGGGTTGTTGTGATTATAGGCAAGAGATTCACAACATTTTATTTTAAAATTTTCTTCCCAAATGTCTTGTACAAACAAAGATGGCGATCGATACACATATTTAACTACCATTTAAAAATAAACCAGAAAATACATTAACTTTATATAGAACTCACCTATATCAACAGTCGCAGGCTGTATCTTAGCTGCCTGTTTCTGTATAGGGGCCGGGGACGCGGGCGAGGCCGGTGCAGAGACCACAACGAAGGAGTCCGTCAGGCTAGTGTCTGATTTACTCGCACGAAGCCCTCCCTCCGACACTTCCGCGGTCACACTAGTACCTCCGACATCTATCGAGCATGACTCGCTTGAATCACCGATACTGCCACCACCTTGACAAATGAATAACAGCTTTAGAATATAGAGTTAAGGGTGTAGTCAATAGACTGTATGCAAAACCGAATTAAACACAACAAGTATTGTTTGAATAATACGAGTTATAATGTGGAATTAGTAGCTATGTACAGACAGTGCCAGAGAAAATGTAATTGGGGGGTTCCTTTTCTCTGACGCTGTCTCTACTTATTTCCAACTTAAAAGATAACCTAAGACAATATTTATCGAAACGAATTTAACGTTGCTTGAACAATGCGCCGTATCAAATCAAATCAAATAATTATGTGGCGTGTTAAGTCGGCTTAGGCCCGCGACTATAACTGAGCAGAGTGGGTAATGTCTACTACTACTACAAATTTTATATAAACTAATATTATAAAGATGTAAAATTTGTAGGTTTGCATGTTTGTAAGTTTGTATGTAGGAGGTAATCTTTAGAACAGCTGGTCGCATTTCCAAAATTCTTTCCCTGATATAGGCTATAAAACATCACGCTACGATCTGTAGGAGCCGAGCAGCGGGTGAAACCGCGCGAGATTAGCTAGTATAGTGATATTTATGTAATAACTATCGCGAGAGCTATTATCAAACAGATGACGTAAATGCGATATTTCTAAATCTATTCGTCTAATTCTAGTAGTTTCTGTCCTTGTTTGAACGCGCTAATCCCCAGAACTACTGGTTTGAATTGGACAATTCTGCTTGTGTTTGGTATTCCATTAATCGAGGAAGGTTATAAAAAATCACGCTATGATCTTTAACACATTCAGTGCCCCCGATGCGTATGTGCGTTTCCTCGCACGCACATACGCGTCGGGGGCACGGGAGCGGGAGCTGAGCAGCGGGTGAAACCGCGTGAGACTAGCTAGTAATTCAATAAACCACTTACTTTTACGATACATCGGATTTCCCTTAGACTTCCTTCTTAGCATGACATGTCCTTGCTTCTGCAGCTTATTCCGATGTACATCTTTTTCTGCGTCTAAGTCTTTTTCGTTGTCATACTCCTGTTCCTGTTTCGCTTCATCACAGGAGTCGACTGGTTCTTCTTTAGGTTCAACGTATTGTTGTGGTTCCTCATTGTCACTGCACGTGTCCTTCTCATCGTGTCTTCGAGCGGACTCCTTAGCGCTGGTCGTCTCGCACGCGTCCGATAGTGAACTCTCTGAACCTGATTTGGTTAGCGTACCTGTTTAGAAAATTAGAGTTATTTGAAGGTAGGCACTTGGACTGTGTAAATTTATTTGGTGGCTATATAATAATTTTAGCAAAACTAGAATGAAATTACAAGAAACTAACAAGTCGCCATAAGGTTCTTCAACCATGTAGACTGACGATAAAGTTCAAAATCGCAACTATTCAATTAACGTTCTACAAGACAAAACCTCGAAAACTGAGAAAGAAAAATTGCACTAGGCAGCTACAAGTTATATACATTAAATACCTTCTTTCTCCTGAGACAGGCTCATTTGTTTGACCAACTCCTCCACCCGTTTGATGGCTGCCTCCCTATCCTGTGGCTGTAAGTCTTCAGTCTTGGTTTCGCTCTCCGATCTCTCTGATTTTACTTCAGACTCTGACTTTAGTTCTTCACTGTCCTGTACCGATAGTTTCTGCTGCTCGTCCTTCTCTGTGTGTACCTCCGTAGAAGTGGACACTGGGTCGACACTACCGCCCTCTATGCTCTCCGTTTGTTCTTCTGCTGTTTCCGCTATGTAATCTATTGACCACATCTGTCCAAAGAAAAGTTATAAATTTGAATTTTTATGTTAATATTTGATCTTCGTTGTATAACTTCGTATCGGCCTGAGACAAATTGTTTTTTTGTAAACTTAGATATTATTTGTGTTTATTTAATATTTTCAAGGTAACTGTCGTGTTAACTGTGCAAGAGGATAGAAAATCCAATAGTTTTAAATAATGCAACCAAAACGAATCTTTTGAAATATTTACTTATAAGTCTAAAAAAGTAGTACTAACCCGAACCACTCCATCAGTAGACCCTGTGATGATGACATTGAGCGGGTCCCACTCCCTCGTCTGGCTGAATGCGACACACAGTACTTGCTGGGACCGCTCGCGGCCACCGATGGTGTCCACGGCGCCCAGTAGCTCGCCGTTGATAGACCACGCGTATAGCCAGCTACCGCTACACGTCGCTATGTCGCCCTGTCATAAATTCGTTATTATTAGTGATGAGTGCTAACAAGAGTAAACGGGTCAGAAATAAATAATCTTTTAATGTTATTACTATCGTGATCAAATGGTTTATTTCAACACTGTTTCACAAAACATTGTTCCGAGTCAAGGTAGCATATCTGAATGTATGTGTTTAAAAATGCTCCTATGACACAGGAGAAAATTCTAAAATGAGTATACGTGTTTTTCAAGAAGTAATTGACAACATGACGAGAACTATCTTAGTAATATTATAAATGCGAAAGTTACGATGTTTGGATGTTTGTTACTCAATCATGGTAAAACGGCTGGAAGGAACTGGATGAAATTTGGCACAAGCATAAGATACATTCCGGAATAGTATATTGGCTATTTTTATCAACATACCACGCGGGCAAAGCTGCAGATAGAAGCTAGTTTGTACATAACAGTAAAACAAGCACTTACGGTAAGATCATCAATAGCTAGGGCGGACACGGGCGGCGGCGGGCCGTAGCAGTGGGGCGGCAGTAGCTGGCGGATGAAGGACCCTCGCTCCACGTCCCACACGATGGCCTGTCCGTCGCGACTGCCACTCACCACCAGGTTGTACGCGGGGCTCGCCGCCAGGCATGTCACCGCTTCTTCGTGCCCATACAGACATACTTTCACTGCTAATCTACGACGGCGGGCCCAGTATTGCCATACTGTTACCACCTGGTGACGAAAAATAGGAAAATATTTTACATTGATTCATAAAACCCCAAGCGAACGCCGGCGTTTGCACACCTGTTGATCTACCATTGCGTTCTGAAGCACCACGATTGAAAGGTAAAAGGACATTTCAAATCGATACACAGTATACAGCGATAAATAATACTACGTCGACGTTTCGAAAAGCCCATATATCTACCTTTTTCTTGTTTCGAGACTGTGCTTGAATAGATTTAGTTTATTAACTGACTCTTTCCAAAGATTTATATGAAATATTCATCGCCCGATACTAAGTTACTACAGTAATTTTTCTCCCCGGAGAAAGAATCACCACTTAAATTCTATAAAAACATTAAAAATAATACAGTTGAATCAATAATGACTGCACGGTTGGCGTAGAGGCTGGGCAATTGGCTACTGTGCAACGTGTCGCGAGTAGGAATCCTAGACGGAACAACACTTTGTGTGATCCACAAATTGTTGTTTCAGGTTTGAGTAGCTTGTGTATGTAAATTGGTATGTTATCTACTACTACACAGGAGAAAATACTAGTGTGGGGCAATATTTTTTGAACAAAAACAAACGATGAAACTTATTAGTGTGAACTTACCGTACTAGTACCAGCAGTGACAATAGTTTTATCAGAGGGACAGACGCAAGTGACAATCTCTCCACAGGCCTGCGCCACGGTTTCACAAACAAAGATAGCTTTATCATTGTCATAGTTGCCGATCCTCAACGAGTGGTCAGCGAAGCCCCACGCCACGTACTTGTTGTAAGTCGGCGGCATCAATACTTTGTTCTGTTCTACTGCTAGTATTGCCTTCTCTGTGTACAGGATCTGACCAACTGGGCCTTTTACCTCTGCAATACGATAGAAAAAATGTTATAAGTAATTATTATTACCGACCATGAGCTGTCTCAAAATGTATACATAAAGTTGTCTCGTTGGTTGAGTGCGTATCGATTATTGTCCGATTCGATGAGTGCGAGTTCTCGATTAAGCTCTCTGATTGATTGATTAACTTGGACCAGGCCAACCACAATGTTATAAACATATCAATCGCGATAATGTTGAGCAAACTAGAATTAAATCCTTTCAGTGCCATTTTTGAGTGAGTTAAAAAGTATTCCTGATACCTTTTTCAGTTTTTGGAATTTTTTAGAAATTAGCACGGAGTCTAGAACAATTCTCGGTACATGGCAATAGTCTCGATAGTCACGCTTTTATCAATGCTATTCTTTTTCACAAAATATGTCATTTCACGTACCTTTTACAGGTTGTAAAGAAGGTCTCAAGTTTTCTAAATTGTGGAAGAATAACTTCTCAGGCGGTGTGATGCCTTGTGAAGGTATTATATTGTTCGGGTCCAGTATGGTAGAGCTGCGTTGAGACATCTTCTTGCTTGGATGAGCTTTCTTGAACAGTTGCTTTGGAATTTGACCAAAATTGTTTATGAATCCGATTGTAGCGTTCTTCTTTAGAGGGTCGTCAATACTAAAAAAAATACACTGCGATTAGAGATAACTGCACATTTGTTGACTTAGTAATGTGTTAAGCTAATTGTTTAAAATGGGATAAACGATTATTTAGTGTGGTTTATTGTAAATTGTTCATCGAACATTAAAACGAAATGTTTAAAGTTTTTTTACATTTTAAATTTTCACATTATACCTAACATTTCGTTGTAATGTTTTATGGACAATCAAGTCAAGTCAAGACAACTTTTTCTCCACTTCTTTTTTTTTCGAGATTTCAACTCTAAAACAAGGACCATTTGAAAATTCAGTATGAAGTACGCATATATTAGTGGTACTAACTTGTAGATATCAACGTTGCCCTCGTAGAAGAGATGATGGAAGACGTTGCATGCGTCGTGCGCGGGCTGTCCGGTCTGCTTGTACCCGAAGACGAGGTCGATCCAGTGGTGCAGGCGGTGCGACACGTAGTCGCACTCCAGCGCCGCGCGGTGCGCACGGATGAACTCGCGCGCGTCGCCCCGCGCCCATGGCGGCAACACTACGTCGCCCAACGATACACCCGATTGCTTGCAACCTACGATACGGAATATTTTAGTAAATCATAAGTCTTTGACTGCACGGTTGGTGTGATGTCGATTCCAACAAGTCTTTGTGCAATCCATAAATTCTTGTTCCGGGTCTCAGTGTGATGTGTATGTGATTGTATATTTGTAAACGCACCCACGAGAGAGAAGAAAATCCTAGTGTGGGGCAATGTTTTATAAAAAAAAGATAAAATCTACTTAGCATTCAGGTAAGAAACTTGCAATGCAGAGAGTATAAAACTTTATGCAATGGCTGAATTAGTGGACAATTTGGTGCTTATACTATCATTAAGTAAATCTATTAATATCCCTCATGAATTGATCACATAACTAAATATAATTGCCAACATAAACAGTAAACACTTAATAACTACTATATTTGCTTACCTAAGTCGAAATTGTTAGAATTGACCAGAAATTCAGGCAAATAGAAAAACTCCGGTATTAATTCCTTGACATCAGCCATGTTATGTCGCGACGCTGAGTTCCAAGCTTCCTTTATTGAATGGAACATTCTGGAACAAAAATAACAAGTGAGATACTCTATTCACTTTTCAAAAAGATGTCTTAAATTGTGTAACACAGGGTCTGAAATGGTATGATGATTCACGCACGGAGCAACACTTTTTGCAATCGTTTTGAATCGTATGTGAAATTATATGTAAGAAAATACACCCACTACAGGAGAAAATCTTACCTATCAGCCAAGTCGAAGTGTCCGCCCTGAAGTTTAAGGAAATGTTGCGTGAAGGGCTCCATTCTGACTAGATAGGAACATACGATCATTGCCGACGAGTAGTGCGTGCCGTAGTGGTACGGAGGAGTTTCGCCGTGAGGGTCGTCCCATTCCTACAAAAAACATTAAAATACGAAAAAAAATGTGAACCAAGGGTAAATAAAATATTACTCAGACATCTTGCCTGTGTGCTAACGGTTCCATTATTAATACTTAGTCTTCTTCATAATTGTTTATTATTGAAAAACAATAGAATATTTATTTTAAAAACGTAGGCAAGGGACAATGTTTGTTAAATATTATTAACTTTACAATGCTGGCCAAGATACGTATCCAAAAACCGTGATGATTATTGCAAACTTGTGTTTACTGTCAACACATTTTTCATTAGTTTCTATTTAGTATTTATAACTTACCTTATATCGCTTCCTAAATTGTTCCAACCTGTCTGGGCTTTGAGCTCCCATAGGTTTGGTGAGATCGCGGAAGGTAGCTGGGTCATTAAGGTCCAGTTCTAGTGAGTCGTAATCCGCCAGGATCCAGGGGAACACTGGGTACTGCATGAGATCATTGTACGACCGACCCGCCAAAGTGTTTAAGTGCATCAAGTACTGGAAGTTTGATATTTCGCCTCTCTGAAATAGAACATGATTATTGAGTTTTCAATCTTCAAAAACTAATTGTTTTTAATTACTTTCTTTGAGTTTTAAATAATATTTTAATCTATATAGAACGTTAATTCCCATAATAAATCCCATCATAGTATAAAATCATTCACTGTCTACAGAAATTTTGAATGAAAAGTGAGTCTCTAGCGTTACAGGGATCTAACACAAACAATCAGATAGATCAATCTTTATCCTGAAAATTACAAAGTAACGAATGTTGAGTCGTGCCACACAATACATACCAGCCACCGTTGTGTGACGGAAGTGTCACCAATGAGGGTGGCCAACAGTCCGCCTGGTTGTTCTACGGCGACGCCCCGCTTCTGTCCCGCCACGGAGCCCGCGGCACTGTCTGCCATACCCGTCGCCAGCGCTGTGAATCGGCTGTATACCTACGATAAAAGAAATGTTTTATATTTCAATCTCATCACTTGCAGTTAACGTAGATCTACACTAGGTAGTTGAAAAAAGTTGTACATACCTTGTTTCGAACTTTTCTTGGAAAAGCTAGCAAGTAATTTCTGCCGTCACTCGAGAATACTTCTAAAGCAATCGGTTGTAGTAAATATCGCCTTTTGTGAACCTCCCTGTTAACATATTCATGAAAGAATAAAATGTACAATCTGCAAGTGATTCCACTTAATCATGATAATGCAAAACCATGAACAGACTTAATCTTGTTTGCGCAACATGGCGCAAAAATACATACTTGCGAAAAAAACTTATTGCGCAAACAGTTAATTATTTTTACTTAAATATTTATTCTTAATAATTATATACTTACCGAATATCTTCATACAAGAACTTAGAACATTGTCTTTGATTGCTCCTCTGAATGCCTTGAGCTGGGAGTATAGGTTCATAGTCGTCTGGGCAACTGTCTAAGTCACGTATTTCCCTGTTTTTCAGTAACGTAAATCCGTCTATGACGTAGCAGTGCTCTCGACCGAATAGCAATAGACCTTCCGTTGTGTCTAGACCTTGTATCCGCGCACAGCGGAACATGTGAGAGATCTGAAAGTAAATATTATAATTACTAATTTCTACCCATAGTTTCGCCCGTGCTATCAGAATAAAAAGTGGCTAAGTTATTGTAAGTGATATTCTAGATTTTGTTCTATAATCATTATGATTTTTTATTTCTGTATACTCAGTTATGTGCTTAAACGAAAAACAAATCATATATTCTAAAAATGTTCGTTTTAAAATATAAGTACGATAGGATATAGGACTTGAGATTCGTGAGTTTCTTTATTAAAATTTTAAATGTTTCATACCTTTTCGTGATGTTCTAGAAGCCGTAAAAGAGTTTGGTTATCTGGTGGAGGCGTTGGTTGTTCATCTTCATCCTCATTGTCTGGACCATCTTCATTAGCTGTGTTAAAGATGTCGATACGTGAGTAAACACTTATAATCTTAATAATATTTATTAGAAGTTGTCAAGAATATCCTTCAACATACCTTCGCCCGAAGATTGGTTGGTACCGCGACTTACGACGCCACTGCTCACGAGATCCGAAGGAGACCCATCACTGTTTGCAACATCAAGGGACGTGTCTCCACTTCTACAAATACCAAGAATTTTTTTTTAATAAACTTACTTGATGATTTCTGTATAGTTTTAAAAGACCAAAATTATTTACTATCTATCTTCTGGAGTTTATGTATATTGGAAAATTCAGAAGATATCTTACGTGGCTGGTTCATTGGTAGTTTCAGGGATGTCGGTTGGTTCAGCGCCCTCTACCTCACAGATGTTTCCTGCCGTCCGCCATTGTTGGTACACCCTGTAGTACTCTTTGCTGTCCAAACTTTGAGCCACTTTGTATTTCAGTTGTTTCTAAAAATATTTAGAGACTTTTAATACTTGTACATTGTAAAGAAAATTATTTTTGAAAGCAAACAAGCAGATATTTAATATTACTTTTGAAGTTAGTCGAATGAAGCAAGATTATTGTTTGACTTGAGGCCTATTTTAGGCATCAGTAGTTTTTTTTAAATCTTATTATGTTTTAGGTTTTTTTATTATATTCAATATACTGAGCGACTTAATAAGCAGTTAGTCTTACATTGTCCGGGTCATCGAGGTCAGGTCGGTATGGGTAATGTTGGTAGAAGGAATGGTTACGACGTAGCATTTTCCGCATTCGGGAAGGTCCCTCCGTGGAGTCGAGCGCCCACTTGGCGAGTGCGGGTGCGCGGCGCGGCCCCCAGAGGGCTCGCTCCCTCGTGAGTTCCCTCCAGGCCCCCGCCCACTCGGCCTGCACGTAGCGCTGCGTGTGGAGGCGGGTTAGCGCAGCCCCGCCCACCACACCACACCACGCTTGTCTGTACACAACAATACTTATTCATAAAAGGGTGTTAAACGCGTCAAAACATCCTATGATTTATCACCATTGAATCGACAGAAGTCGAGGTAGCCCAGTAAATTTTGAGACCACACGTCGTGAATGACGTTTACTTGAAGTAGGATAACAATCACAGTGTTACTTACAAGTTTAAGCTGTATCCCATTCCAAAGTGAAATCCTTCTAATAACCCTCGAAAATATCGAATTGATATTCACCATCGGGTTAGTACTATAGTCTACCTGATACAGTAGTGTTGTAGTGAAAATCATCAAGATCAGTACTGTTCTCCAAATAATATTAATAACAAACTTAATTCCATAAATTTTGTCAGTACTTACCTAACAAGTTGCACATGGTCCTGCATATAAGCCAGCGCATGGTCTCGTGGTGGATTAGCTCGTTGCTTAGCAGAGTCTTCTTTCTTCACTTTCGTTCTAGATGCGAGTCGAGTAAGTCCCCCGGTGACTTTCTGTATCTTAGACTGAATTTGATTGTGAAGCTCCCATGGTACACGGTATGTGGCCTAGGAACAAATTAATATGAAGGTAATCACTATTATTTTAACAAACAAGTTCCCGTTATATTTTTTTATAAGGTTGGTCGATTAATGAGGAGTCGCTACCCCTTTTACACCACACTTTTCTGAGGAATATTTGGTATTTAAATATTGTTGACTTGGGGATTGGGTGCGGGGTTTAGGTCTCTGGTAACCTAAGTCATATGGTGAAGCTAATGACATTTCTTCTTGTAAGCAAATTTTTGTGTTAATTACTGATTTTATCCTTTTATCAAAATAAATTATAAGCAGAAAATCTTAACGAGAAACTTACCTTTCTTTCGATGTCAATGTAATTGATCCACAGTTTGTGTGCGGCTTCATTGAGTTGTTCCCTCACTGTTGTTAGATCAGGCGCGCGCGCATTTCCGACGGGCGGCACTAGTGTTATCTTAAACACTTCCTCTATAGCAGGTTTTTTACAAACATACAGTTCTTCCCACACACGGCGAGCGGCCCCAGCCATTAAGTTTCGTCCTGATTGAGAAAAAAGCCCAATTATTACATACCTATATACCTTTTATGTTACGTTTATTGATTTATATGGATTGTTTAATATTGTATAATTATTATTTTTTATTTATCAAAATAAGTTAAACTCGACAGAATGTTGCTGCCAAACTAAAAAATAATGATAATCATTTTTTTTTATTCTCGTCTTAGAGGTAAAAAGTGTAAATACCTTGATGAGTAGTAAGCTTATCGTCCCTAGACTCTAGATCTCCACTGGGATTGACGTGCCATGTGGTCCGCATGTGTGAGTCGAGAGCGATCTTCATGTTGGAACTGAGTTGCAGCAAACAGTAGGTGAGACATCCGATAAATTCTAGTTCATGGTTGCCCGCGCCGAATATCAGTAACCTAGGAGTAATAATAATATTTATACCATAGCAAAGCTTTTCAGGAAAACTCATTTTGAAAAAGATTTTTGACTAAAAACCTCCCGTTCCTTCTCCTGTTCTAGGCCAAGGCCGCGATGCCTTATTACAAGCGTAATAAGGCATCGCCCTGAAACCCCGGCTAAACATCAGCCCTATAAGGCCTCGTCTGTGGTGGTTTATTTATTGGCTCTCTGGGCGCGCGTGGAACGCTACACGCCGTAAGCTCGGGTTAAAAGACAATTTGACTGTTATACTTAACCAGAATTAAATTATGAGAAAATGTTGAATTGGTATACCTTGGACGAATGTGAGGAAGCATGTACTTATTGTACATTTATTTGTTGGCACTACTTGTCGAGGAAATAAATATGACACCAAATATTTGGGATATCATTCAAAAAGTAAAATAAAAAGCCGTTGTACTTGTAGGTACCAAACAAATACATACCTATTAGTGGTAAGTTTGTGTAAAGCCTCCAGCACTGACATTTGGTCAGCTATCGACTCCGTAGAACGAGACAGCAAGAACAGTATAGTCCGGTTCAGACAGTGATGTAGTCCCTCCAGAGAAATCACAGACGATTTCTTCTTCGCTTGTGTTATCAATTTTACTATAAAATCGAATACCTGTAAAGATATATTAAGAATTCTATCAATCCGCAATACTGTTCGTCGTCACCGAATTCGTAGTTTAACGCAAAGGACTCCGGTCGGCTTCGAAAATAGTAGAGCGTCCCCGCAAAACTAGTGTTAATTACATATGATTTAATGTATTAAACATTTTGACTCCAGGAATTCTTTTAACAAATTACACATATTCAATGATTTTACGAACCTCGTGAGGATCCCGTGACAGTTGTCCTTGCCATAGCTTATCGACCAGCCGAGCAGCTAAGTAACAAACATTCGATATATTGGACTCGGATCCGAACAACTCTGTATTCAGTAAATTCTCCATCAGTGTAGTGAGGACTTCTGTTTGATACTCAATCTGTTGCTGGCTGGTTGAATTTGGGGGTGACGCATCTAGTACTAGATCTATTACCTGAAATGTATAAAATAAGATTTATAATACTAATAATAATGTTTGTGAAAGTCATAATGATATGTGCAACAAGATATATTTCACAATGCAGTGAAGCTTAGAACACAGCACATTGACATAGGCTTACGTAATATGTTTAAACATCCGAGTGCAAGGAAGCTGACGTAACCATTTCATTATCGCAAGTGTTGGCGGAAGCAGGAAATGTTACATATAGGTGACTGCTCTACATGACAAGCGTGCGACAGCCGGGAGATATACGTACGTTACTGTTTTAGTATACAAGTTACTATCAACAGGAAGCTGAAGTCTACAGTAAACGGATTTAGGTCGATTGTTAATTGCAGCGTCAGTCAATTCATTAGTTAAGTCGAAAGGTTTTGTAATAATAAAATTCCCCATATTTACGCTATAAAAGTAGGATCTCCCTGGACCGGAGTTACATGGAGTACAAAACATTGACGGTGGCACTGAGTCAGTCGCGGTTTCGGGGTTCTAGAACCAATCAAGCTGATACTATGAGTTAGGCGTTTAAACCCTACCTTTAAAGATTAGGCGTTATTTAGAAATAATATCCTAATTGGGGTTTATTGCAACATGCAAAATATTGATCAACTACGCACAACAACAAAACAACACACAGGTGATATAGCAAAATAATAGACAACCAAACATTATAGCAATATATTGAATGGATGCAACACAGATCTTTAAATTTTATACTATAGCGAATTCTTCAGAAATTATATCATATAAAATTTAGAACAGTCAAATGAATATTTTGTTTATTGATGTTGATTCATCAGAAAAAATGTAAATTACCGAAAGTATTTATTTAGAAAACTTTCCCGCAAATTAGGGTTAACTAAGCAGAAAGGTAATAATCAAAAAAGAAAAAGTGAATGTTTCGTCAGATAATTTAGTCCCTTGTTAAGATAACGATCCTTTTAGATGGAATTTCAAACTCAAAGGCCGTATAGTGGTTTTTATTTCCATATCTTTAAATAATCGTGATTCAAACAATCAAAACGTTAGTACCTATTAATATATTTTCCGCGACTTACCGGTGCAGTCTTGCCGGTAACGTTGAGAGGTAGTGAGTCGAGTACAATGAGACGCAAGAAGTCCATGACCCCCTGTCGTACGGGGTGTTGCGTCAATGACCCCGCTGTGGCAACTGTACCCCCCAATACCACCTCCTTCTCAGACCCCGGGGTAGAAGCACCTGAGCTTTCTTCACTCTCGCCAATCGCTGGTGTAACATTATATGAACATTGTTCAAATTATAAATAGGAAATTCATTAGAAGTGATCTTAAAAGTGTACTATGTTATTCAGCAACAGAATAGATTCCTGAAGGCGATTGTCATCTATGATACCTATATTCCAATTCACATAAATTGAATGAGATTAAAAGAAATAAATTTGTAGTTACAGACTTACAGTTAATATATCGTGACACTACCAGAAAATAATACTTACGCATATGAATATCATCTGTGCAGTTAGGCGGGAAGAGAATTGCAGCCAGTGCTGTTAAAACCTCCGCCATCATCATTATGGGGACAAAGTCCGGCAGAGTGTTGTACAGCGAGAACAGGACCTATGTTTATGAAAGATACATTTCACCTCATTACTACATCAACGGACAATAATTATTTTAATATTTCAGTTCTTGCAAAAAACTTAAACATCTGTTCGACGGACAGAAAATAAGGACTTACGTGATTTTTTAACTAAAGCTCTACAAGTTTCAAGTCACAACGGGACTCTTATTCATGAACAGCGTGCGAGTCGTTGCGACGTGAGTCGTCGCGCAGCCAACACTTTAGAGTTTCCTGTCCTACACATATGACTGAATGCATATGAAACTAGTAGAGCTTTTCTCAGTGAATTCACGTAAGTCGTTATTTAAAAAAAATCTTTTATACAGACCTGTACTATAGCGACGGGGTGATCAGAGAGCCAGTCGGGCGATGAGTTCTTGTCGGCATGTACTAGGGCGCGACAGGCAGCTAGGAGTACCACGACAGCGTCCGGACATAGAGAGATTCGTGCGGCGAGGGCTGCGGGGGACTGCCGCGGGGGCGCCGCCGCCCCCCAGGCCGCCGCCCACACGCGCTCCACGGATACCGCGCGGTCTGAGCACGCCGCCCGCACTGGCTGCCCCAGGGCCAGTCCGAATAGTAAGTAGTACAGCTCTGGGATCTGTAGGTGGGCTGGTACTAGCCTGGTTAAGAAAAATAGAGACTTGTTACTTAGATAGAAATGTCATGCCCAGCGAAGCAAGAATTTAGTTTTAAATCGATATGATCAATGTGGCACACATTTTTATACATTAGTTTTTGTTCGCCAAACACTTCGTCATTAGATTTAAAACTATTATCTGTGCAAGGATTGTCTTTGTAGGAATATGAAAAAAAGGTGACAAAGGTTTTAACTATTTTCCTAGCATTAATCTTCTAATATAAAGTACCAGTTTCTGCTAGTTTCACGGCTTGTAGAATCATCTCTATGCTACGTTTTATTCGGACCCGTTCTGTAGTTTTGACGTGAAAGAGTAACAAACATCTTTCACACTTTTGAATTTTCACGTATATTATTATTAGCAGGATTTACTTACCACGCCAGTAACGTGAATCCAGGAGTATGCAGTAGTGACGTGTGTAAATGTGAGTTGGAATGTACTGTGGTAGTCATCACCACTCCAGCCTGTTGGGGCTGCGCGATTATCTCTGTATGACGCAACCAACCTCCGTTGCCGACACCTTCCCTAAACCTGTACAAAAGATAATAATAATATCTTTGCTTCTTTTAAAAAGCAATACTAACGAAAGGGTCGAAGGACAATATACAGACCTCTGCAATATAGCCGATTGTTGTCCTTGCCCAGAACACAAAACGACCATAATCCTCAACGCCCATAAAACAGTGGTCGGATGAACATTTTCCAACATAAAACTCAGCAGCCAATCCACGCCCAACACCCGAGATATCTCCTCACATACAATAGTATTTACAAGATTCCTTTGTGTGAAGAGGAGTCCGTGTATAACGTTGAAGCATTTGTTCCTTAGAATTATTTGTTCTCCTTCGCTCTCAGTGTCACTCTCCTTGAGGTTCACTCCCTTCTCTGTTTGCGTCGGGAGTGGCAATGTGTATGCCATGAATTGTCCTAAGCAGAGAAGGTCGCTCGGTCGCGGCTGTCCGCCCAGCAGAGCTGCCAGTAACTGTATGAGGACATTCCTTGTGCTAACGACTTTCACGTCATTGATTATATAAAGAAGTTTGGAGACTAGTTGCAGCTCCCTCATTGTGCGTAGGTTGTGCGTTCTGTGCGCTGTTTCCGTGGCCAGTTCAAGTAAATGTTCTAAAAGGGATTTTATCAGTCCACCAGGGGCACCGAGCCAAACTTCTAGTTCGCATATTAAATCCTAGAATTCAGTAATTTCATTAGCATTTTGAAATGAATTAAGATCACTGCTGGATAATAAACAATGACGTACCTGGAAAGCAGTTAAGTTAGGAATGGAAGAAGTTTCCTTTTGACTATCAACAGTTCCGACTAGACCAAAAATGAGATGCAGTATGTGTGAGTTGAGCAATTGTTTCTTCCTCTTCAGTAACATTGCTAAAGTCTGGTATCCTTTCCGCCTGTCCATTTCGGCTTGCGCAGCCTTATTGGAGCGCACGACACAAACCAGAGCTTTAACACTTGCGTACAAACATTCCACATCTTGAGCCATTGCTATTAAACCTAATAATACTGAGCAGCCGCCTACTGTATCGATCTAAAACAGAAACGAACATAAGGGATGATACGAGATAATCAAATTACTACGAAAGCGTACATCGATATAGGACTCACCATGATGGCAGCAGGTTTAGGGCAAAATACACGGACACCTAAATAACCGACGACGGTGCCGCCTAAACATCTCGCTGGGCCCATAAGGTGGCCAGCAGAGTTGTGTAATATCCTTATGGGAGTCGCATTTTCGTGTGAAGACATGCCGAGCATCTTGGCAATAGCCTTGTTGTCATTTTTGCTGTAAACTTTCCGTATCTTGGCGAGAGTGAGCTGTGACATGGCGCGAGCGTTTATGCCAAATACCACCTTCTCCTCAGCTACCAATGGAGCGAGTGGGTCCAGGTACTGTCCCGGCGGTAAGGGGGCTTGCAACGTACCCACGTAGTGCGGGCCCAACTGGTAGATTACTGACACTGTTTGTGCTGGTAATACCTGAAAATTTTGATGAATTTACCTACATTTTTTCTATAAATTTATTAACCAATGCATTTTCACAAATTACGTAAAGCATGTATTCTAACACAAATATACGTACATACATATTTTATAGTTAAATACGAGTTAAAACAAATTTTATAATTAAATTAAAACTTGAGGTAGGTTTGCTACAACCGGCTTCAAGTGGTGCCAGTTGCAAAAAAACTAAATAAAATATTGCCCCGTTAGAACATAATTATCACAGCAATAACTTACATCCTCGAGCAGTAGCGCGGGTCCTTGTCTCCAAACGAGGCGGGAGTACCGGCGCCAGTGGGGCGGAGTCCCAAGCACGCAGTAGACGCTGGAGGCGCCGGACAGGGTGGCGGCGCCCCCGCCCGGGTTGGCGCTCACGTAGTGCAGTTTGCCCGAGTGCATGTGCTGGCCTGGACACCACCACACATTATAAATTACTAGCTTCTGAAAGCGGCTTGACTCGTGTTTTCAGGGAAAAATTAAGCCTACGTGTTTTTCTGGACTATAATCTATCTGTGTGCCAATGTTTATTCAGATCTGTTCAGTACAACAAATAAAATCAATACAATTTTTCGTTTTAATGTTTTAACTCAACAATGCCTTTGCCGCTTTGGCTAATTTTGGTTTTGAATTATTCGTGGAAATCCAGAGAAGGTTTGTACGTAGAGAAATTTTAAAACAAAGTCTTGTAATGTGTAAAATCGACATCTACGCAAGCGACCGCTAGTTTTTATATAATTTTCAAATACATACCATCCAAATATAGTGAGAAGGAAGAATTCTTGAGTACAGCGCGATTGAGTACCAGCACTAGATGGTGCCACTGTCCTTCATGTTGCAAGTCGGGGCACCACACACGTGCCCCGCACTCTCCTGAACCTTCAGGCTCCCACTCACCTACATCTGTAGAGATTTGTAAGGTTCATTATCACATCAAGCTACTGAATAAGAACAACCAATCAAGTACCATTTAAAGCACAGACAAGACCAGATCTCTCGAGACTTGAAAGATCTTTTGTATAATTTCAATTCTATTGCAAAAGCTTTAATATTGTACATCTATAAATTTGTAGGTGTGTATACGTAAAAATATTTGTGAATGACTAATAACTTACTATGAGGAACTAAAGTCTCCTGCGTGGATATAATGATAGCTTTATCCCTCGCTGACAGCACCATAGTGAGGCAAACGAGGTGCTCATCCCTACTGTTGTTAATGTTCCGTACAAGGGTCAACAACCTGACGCAGTGCGGGTCTGAGCGCGAGTCAGAATACTTTTCCACGCATATCCACGTCGAGTACGTCAGACCAGTTTGCGGCGGAAACACACGATCACCTTAAACAAAACATCAAGTCACCATAAAATCAAGTTTGACAAAGCAATTGATGGGAATAAAACTCACTGGGCCGCCAACTACCTGAACCAATTCCACCTAAAGTGGCAGTGTCTTGCGTTCCTAAGGCGTTTAGATTGGCCGATTGAGGTGCTATGCTAGGTAGGTATAAGCATCCGAAACCTTCAGCCGACATGTCGAATTCGACAAAAGGTGGTAATGTGCAGGAATTTTGAGATCTGCCGAGAAAAGGACAAACATTATTACCCATGGCAATGCAAATATACAATACAAAGGTATGTATAAAGATTCAAAGCATGAAAATGGTACGTACCGGTAATCCCTCGGCGTCGTCATGGAAACGAGTGTCTTTATCCTAGTCAGTGGTACCGGCCCGCCGGGTTTACAAACCTGACCTGGTTCAGGATCAACGCAGTTCAAAGGATTCCCCATTCGTAAGAATTCTCTGTAATGCAAAAAATACAATAAAACTTAAGATCCCTAGATTAAACTAAGTTTAAAATGCGAACAATAAAAAAGATTTGCATCTTAGATCAATATTTATTAAAAACAAACTGAAGTGGATAGATCTTGTGTTATCATTTTTTTTTTATTAGAGTTCTAATAAAAATTCTATTGTTGTTTAGTTAGTTTTAATGTCTACTTTTGAAGCATTTCTTCGTAAACTCAAACATTAACTCTGAAATTAACTATATATGGCAGCAGCACAGCTATATCTATTACAGCTCTGTTAAAGCTTAACTTGTTGATAAAAACAATGTCTTTGTTAATATCAGGAAATATGAGGCTCTTAACAAAATATTAACAATCGACAACAGTTTTGTACAATCGCCAATTATGAATCTTGACCCCACTTTGATGAAAGTTTAAAACTTCGGAATTATATTTATGGACCAGCTACTCTCGCGCAGTTTCACCCGCTGCTTGGTTACATTTAATCGTAGTGTGACGTTTTATAGCCTATAGCACTCAGGAACATTGTAACTATCTATCAGTAAAAGAATTTTGGTAATCCGACCAGGCAGTAGCGGTTCCAAAGATTACCCCCTACATACAAACTAACAAATTTTATCTCTTTCTAATATTAGTATAGATATAGATAAATACATTCTTTAATAATGTTCAAACAATAACATTTTAATTTATTAGCAAATTTGGCTGTATTAACTCAGACTAATCGCTTAAAAATTAGGTAGGTAATCAAATATTACCACTTGTTTCGAAAGAACACTAGATTGGATTAGTATTGTAGGTGTGAGTACCTGAGTTCGGAGGGTCGCAGCGCGTGCGCGGCGAGTCGCTCGAGCATGTACATGGCGGGCGCGTGCAGCGGGTGGCGCTCGGCGCGCAGCGCGCCCCCGCACACGCGCAGCACCACGCCCGCCAGCCCCGCGCCACACATCACTTGCTGGTTGCGCTCGCTGCGTTACGTACAACGAAACTATACTTCCACTGCTACATTAGGAGCTTAGTCTAATGAAGATTAATTTGCCATAGTCTTCATGCTAGGCGGTTTAGAAATATTTTAAATGTATCAGTTTTATCAGAAATAAATAATGGTCAGTCTATTAAATATGTTATCTTTAGTCGATCTTACAACACCCTTTTAAACATGGCTTATTAGTCCAGTCATCTGAGGAGTTTCACCTCGAAATTTGCGATACCATAAGCTATATAATCTTTTGTTTTGACATTCTATGAGTAAAACTTCCCTTAAACCCTACCAACATACTCTAAGAATGATCGCGCGCTCACTAACCTCTATCTCAAAAACTATCCAACGCATAAAAAACTTTAAAAACAAAAAAAAAAATAGAGAATTTTATATCTATAATATTGATCATAAATACAAATCGCGTAAGCACAATAGGAAATGAGATATTTGCAGAAAATATTACAAACATCGATTTTTGTGACCTTGGACCTTCAGTTTTTTACAGATACCAATATGTAGGTTTTGAGAGAAGTTTTGAATATCAAAACAAAAGTGTATATACAGCTTGGTATCCCAAATTCCAAGATTTTACCTTATTTTGGCTAAAATCACTGAACAATATATGGGGATAAAAGCAAACTGTGCTTTTATTTAAAATCCAACTATACCTTCTCACAAGACTCTTTAACACATGCGCTAAATAGTCTCGTATGGCTCTGGCATGAGCTTCATGTTCAGGCGGTCGGGGCAGGGCTGGGAGCAACTTGGCCAGTACAATGACCACACCCGAGTGTATCACCCAAGCTTCGCCGTTGTTGCTACCGGTCGATAAATTCAGCGGCGCCGTACGACCCGCCGGCTTAGACTACAAACAAAATATTCAGTTAGTTTTTTACCACTAAACAAAATACTAGTATTATATCCTAATTGTAAGTTACACATGATTTACACCCGGTTTCTGAAAGGCTTGTCAACGCTAAAATTAACTAATCTCCTGTTAAATCTCTTGTCAATCATCTGATTGGTTGTTGATAATTCAGTCAACCAATCAGATGACTTGACAAGAGATTAAATTGATTTTCACATTGATCGGCCATTCGGAAACCGCTGTTAGAAACTGATCTGAATTTGGCAACATTGCCATACTCAAAACATCACCACTTAGCACAAAACGAAGTCATTTTCTCTGTCCCTATATCCCTATTTATGTTTAAATCTTTAAAATTACGCAACGTATTTTGATGCGATTTTTTATAAGATAGAGTGATTGAAAAGTTTATATAAAATCAAATCTTTGAGTTTAAGTAATTAATTATGTAGTTTCGGTAGTGTTATGTAGCGAATATAGTGTGGTAGGTGAAATGGAGTAAATAGTGAAAGAATTTACTATCATCATAGCACCCATGCGTAGCACGGACGGGTCGCTAGTTAATAATTAGTAATATAAGACAAGTTATTAGGTACAGACAGCGTCAGAGAAAAGGGACCCCCAAGACTTAAATTACCCGAGCGATGGCACACGCATCGCGTCTCGGGCTACATCGTTAAAACATGTGTATTAGAATAGAAACAAAAGACAAATGAAAATGATAAAGTTACCTCGTTAATGGCTGAGCTCTGTCGGGTCAAACTCGGAGACTTTACATTGAGCGAGCCGCAGAATGTTGGCTTATCGAAAGAATCCAATGCGACATCGTATAAAAGTCGCAGAATGATGCACGCATGCACAAACACTACTGGCACTTTCTCAGGAAAACTGTAAAAAAAAGATTAAACGTAATAAGTTTCATGCCGTAACCGTAAACTGTACAGTTGACAATTTAAAATGCTCTTCTATACGCATTACTTTATAGACATTCAAATTCGAAATAGATTGAAAAAGAATGGGCAACGAATAAATATAAAATTAATATTTAGTTCATTAGTTAGATAATGAAAAAATATTAAACACAAAATTAATTTTGGCATCAAGACAACGATACTTAAATAAAAGAAATTTAAGTATTGTTTCCGCCGATGTTTCAATGCTCGGTATGAAATGTACCGAGTTGTGACGTAACACGATATTCCAAATCAATGTATCGTCGAGAATATTGAATTTTGTATCCGAAAGACGTATATTAAAATGATAAAAAGTCATCACTCTTATTCAGGTAAACATACTTTGTTATTTGCACCAGATTGTTTAAATTATTTATTGTCAAGCTGGGTCAGGATTGTAATATGTCAATTGTACCAGATTTAAATTATAAACACGGAGATCCTTACGTCATTTCTAGAATATTGCTCGTAAATATTTCGTGAAACACTTCGTATAACTCCGCGTCGCCGGGTTCCGTATCGTTTTGTAATTCCGTCTCGTTGATAAAACATCCTAGAAGTCGTATTGTCTCGCATAGAGTTGTCATACATATCTGAAAAATAGTTAAAATTAAAGAACTATCCAGCTACAAATCATGGATGCATAAATCAAGCTTCCAAAAGGATTTTAACTTTATTGCAAAGCCATAATATTGAAATTCTATTAAAGGCTGCATTTGGAAGTACTGACGTGATTTCGATAGTCTTGATACTTACTTCGTGGTGAAAAAACTTCGCGTTGGCTGGTTCGAACCTCATAGCCGTACTGATGGTGTAGAACACAATATGTATTAGCTGCAGCATGTCTTTGTCCATCGGTTCATCACCTTTTAATTTACCTTCTAGAGAAACTAGAACGCTTGTAACGTATACAAAACCGCTGACCTGTGAACATAATTATACCAAACAGAAGTATTATTTAATATGTTATATCAGGCTTATCGTCCCCTGAAGGAGCAGGTAGAGTTGGTGCAGGACAGTTATTTTTATCATTTTTCCTGAATAAATAATTCGTGTATTACTGTCTTTTTTGTGGCAATTCCCCTATTGTAGGCAATTGGCGCCGCCCATGGACACCCACAACGCTAGAGGAGTTACAAGTGCGTTTTTGGCCTTTCAGTGATAAAGAATATGAGGATTTAGGGATTAAGGATGAGAAGAGAAGGGATTGAGCTTCGAGTAACCTTACTCTCAGCGAAACACAACTCAAGCATTGATCAAATCGGTTTAGTCTGTGAATCCGTGGTATCACACGAAAGAGCTGACCCATTCGTATACGTAAGTATGTACCTATTACATATTCCCTTATCTATCACACATATAGTTTTTTCTAAAAGCCATGGACAAAGCTAATGGTTTATTACAGACTCATAAATATCGAAAGGGTATCTGTCTGTTTCGTGTCAAAATAAAACTCCCATATCTATGATAGATATTAATTACTGGACACATACTAATTAGCTGGAGACACTTGTGTCTATATCTAATGACTAGTATTATAATAGTGGAAGTCAGTTCGTATTTGCGTCAATACAATATTTCCGATAAGAATAACCGTTTGTATACTAATTAGCACTCTATGCTAGTAGTAATATAATTCAATTTACCTTTCTAAATATAGTTCTAGTGCGATGCGAGTCTCGCAAGCAGGCTAACAGTGCCTTGAGTATATGTAGCTTCAGAAGCAAGGCGTCGTTTGGTGCGGCGTGCATACCACACAGTAGCGCAGACATGTCTTCCTCACCTGAACCACTCACTATTAATTCTCTCACGACACCTATAAATAAAAAAGAAACATTTAGGTATAACAATTTTATAGAATAAGAATTCTGATAAGTATGTTTATGTACCAACTAATTATTTATTAAAGTTGCGGTGTCGACAGGGCCCCGAATCATTTAAATTAGAAAAGTCTCTAATATCTAATCTAAGATCTGTACCTAAATGGAGAAAGGCAACTTTGTCTCAGTTGTACAGTAGCTAAATATCCATTGCAACTGCTACAACTGTGTAGAAATCATTTCAATCAAATTTAGAAAGGGTTTTTCATAATCTCATTGAATTGCATTAGGATGAAATCCGCATATTGTTATATGACAATTATTTATAATATAACTTTTGTAGCTAGAAAAAAACAGAGTTCACAATATACTGAACAGTTTGTACATGTAAATTCAGTTAATTGATACATATAGGTAATTCACCTCTTATCATAGCCACGTAATACCTAGTCACGTTACGACGTAATTTAATAATAATATTAGGGAAACACATCCAAATAGCTTGAATACTCAATAACAATATTCCAATTCATTCATACATATGTCAGTACGTACCCAAAGCTTTACTTCTACAGGATTCATACACAACCATTCCATGTACACATTTCGCGCCACCACAATCTCTAAACACGTTGCAGTTATTAGAGTTAGCATTCAATAAAGCTGTTAACCCTTCCATTACTAGCGCCCCAAGCTCTTCTTCCTCATCATCTAAATTAGGGTCTCTGATAAGAGAATCATGACGAGTCGACTGTCTTTTCTTTCTCTCCGGAGCCACTGGCGAATCATTAGGTTCCACTGGAGGCGACTCTGATTCTCTTTTGGTCTTCTCTTCATCGAGAATCTGTTTGTCTTTCAAATACACAGCGTACCGAGACAGACAAGTCACAAACACTTCTAACATACCCACTTCCCGGTAAACGTCTTTAAAAATCGCATTGTGTCTGTAAATTGGATTATAATTAGTATTCTATTATATTTATTACTTAGTATTCCATACAAGGAAAACGTTATAACTTACTTTAAAATATTCAATAGTGTTTTCATACACAATATGCTACATGTCCTTGATCTATTCGCTTTTAATAGTAAAGACAGAGATATCAACTCTTTGCAGGGCACAAAATTTAATTGAAACACAATAAACTCTAACAATTCAAAGAATTTCTCTTGAATTTCAGAATTTTTTGTGTATATCCTTTCTGAGAATTGACTTAGTGTGTTTTGATTTTCAAGTATGAAATAATTCGCGTTATCTGCGTGATATACGCTCGATATTGCATCTAAAATCGTGCAGCACAGCGCTGGAGAGTTGGACTTCATAAATACTGATTGTAAGACCTGTAAGGGAAATGAAAACAATTTTAGATATTTTAATTTTGGAAGAATTTATACCAATAAGGATTCAGTGTTTACTTCACACTAGCTACCGCTGCTCAGCTCCTATTTGGCGTAGGGTGATGTTTTATAGCCTATACCACTCAGAAACATTGGAGCTATCTATCAGTGAAAGGATTCTGGAAATCCGAAATCCAGCGGTTCTAAAGATCACCCCTTACATAAAAACTTACAAATTTTATCTCTTTATGATATTTTAAAATACATGTAAGAGTGAGTAAAACATTTATAAAAGGTAAGCCCATACCTGAAAGGCTTGCACATTCCTGACAGCCTGTCCCGGCGTGGAAGGCTGTGGTAATACGAAGCCCTGAAGTTGAAATAGTTCGGTATTGGCGCGCGTCGGTCGCAGCTCCGAGAAACCACAAGCACACAGCGACGATATCATTAACACTAAGTTACGTAAAGCTGCTCGCGCTTCCGTACCACTTACTCTCTCTTCTTCCAACCTATTCAGAAAATCATAATTTTGTTACACAAACATAAATAAGACCCAAAAATCTGCAAATAGAAATTCAAAGGTGCAACACATTAACAAGAAAAAATCTAATAATACAATTAAATAAAACAATAAGCTACGGTGAACAGTGCTTACCCTGATGTCAAATAATCGGGTACACCTTGTCTCTCATGTCTGTGATAAACAAAACAAATCATAGGTAAAAAATAAAAAAACAAATTATAAAATAAGTGCAATCACATGCTACAACAATCTACAATATCTAGATAACGAACATGCTCATGCATTATAGGACAAATACCTCAATAAATCACCAGAAACTTACTTTAGAAGGAATTCAGATAGAAATAAATAGCCTTGACAAGAGCGGAAATCATCCAGTAATAATTGACTAACTTCACTTGAATCCTTTAGGAAACAGAATACAGCTACAAACATTTCAACTACCTGTAATATAAATTGATATCTTAGCATTGAAGAATTCATATAAACATTGTGAAATGTGTTAAGCAATTTCAATCCTTATAGACAACCTTACCTCTAAAGGTGTTAACTCTGGTATCCTTTGCATATTTTCTATGCAAAGTGCAACACATCCCTTATCTGAAATAGAACAGTCTATCAGAAACTATTATCTAAGCTGACCTATATTCTAATTAATGGTTTTGTTTATGAAACAAAACACCAGCTTATATTTTAACAGATAATAATAATAATATTTAGAAACAGAGATTATCATAATAGTTCATAAGGTTGAACTTTATAATTTTGCACTATAATGGCCTAGATAGGAACTTACTATGTATGTACTGAACCACAGATTGTGTTAATCCATGTCGAGATAAAGTCATTAGCACTTCTGCAGCTGACTTCCTCCACATAATGTTATGAGGTGCACACCATGATGTTATGGCAGAAAATAATAGACTGAGATCATCTTTTCTTGCTAATTCTTCACATGGAAATGGATGACTGCATAGTCTTACAAGGACCTAAGAACATACATATATGTTAAAAATTATTACTGATTTCTTTTTGTTATCTCCCTAATCAAAATTTCATTGTAGTAGTAGTATATTGTAAACTTAACTGGGACCCAGAAAATATATCCAGCAGATCTTACAATATCCACAGTTTGATTGTTAATTAAATGATAAATGAATTTCAGACTCTAAGTATATATAAATTCAAAATATGAAGACACAACAATATGCAAATCGAACTGCAGTTGAACCCAGAAAAAATATCCCAAGTACCAATAATTGTGGTTAATTCCTCTGTTGTTTATTGCTGTCTAATCAGTTGTAAATATTACTCAACCGACCAGTGACATTGGCCCACATGGAATAATGTTATCTTTTATCATCATATTTGCACTCCAGATTACCTAGGTAAAAAGTATCCGTCATTCAAACTTAGTATTAACAACGCTATTCCTGTATAAAATTACATGAAATTTTTTTCTGTATTTCAGGAATGGTATGTTATCATATTATTATGTATGACCAACATATATTTCCGCATAAATGTTTGCATGGATTAGTCACCACAGTACATGTTTATCTAGCTGTTATAATGTATATCAAACATGCCCATATTCATATGTTTGCTTAAAAAAGTCCGATACGAATTCTTTACTTTACTGATATCATTGTAATATTGGCACCTGCTACTTATAAATATTATTTATTTACCCTTGCAATTATTCAACAAAAGTGATAATCTCTGACAAATAAGATGAAGAACTTCCTTCTACACTTGTTTGTAAAAAATATTATTATATTGATTGTTGATTTTTCTACTACCAATAATCAACAAAGCATACAATTTAGTTATATTACCTGTACAAATATTTTCTGTAACAAGATTCGTCTTTCCCTAGGAGTAAAGTCACTGTTACCATCCTGAACATCAGCTTCGGATTCAGGTATTTCAGGCAGATCAAAGAATAAGTATAAACATTTCACTAATGTTGAAGGTATTGATGCAGTGGTCATGACCTAGAAATAAAGTTGAAATAAGCTATTGAAACTGATCATACTATTTTAAATAGAGCCTTGAACTGACAGAAAGTATAGTTGCATAAAAAAAACAATGCACCTTCCAATTTTTGTACAGTTTTTTTTTTGTGCATTAAATGGTAGGTTTGTTTAATCAAACCACTCTTGTCTGTATATTATATTTAATAAACAGCTATTACTGCTAGAAATCAAATGACTTATTAGCATTCTATTAGAGTATAGTGATGGGAAATACCTGTATTAGTGACTGATCACCAGCCGCTAAAAGATTTAGTGTTGAGAGTAACATCCAGCCATTGCTAGACTCCTCAGAATTTTCAATTTCTAAGAATTTAGCAATAGCACAACTAGCAGCCTCTGTGCTTTGGTTACTGGCTCTCTTCCTGATCTCTGACACCATGAGCTTTGAAACTTGCTGACAGAATGATAAAATATCCCAGAACTTTTCATTCATCTCACTTGATGGACTAGTGCCAAATACCTAATTGAAACAAACATAAATCTTATAGGTAAAGAAGAAAGAAGGTGGGAATCAATTGGTTTACAATGTACATTGTTTGAAACACTATTGTTTCATTATAATAGCCTTAAAAATATGTTTATAATATGTTTGTGGTGATTACTGCAAAATCTTATTGGTGTATCAATAAGATTTTTTAGTAAGATTCCTATCAGTGGTTAAGACTTCCTTTAAATTGGTCAAAACTAAGTTTATTCAAGGTAAGTATAATACAACAAATATTATGGACATCATAATTCATTAGATGAGCCAACATATGTTTAGAACTATACCAATAAATTCCTTCATTTATTAAATTGAAAAATTTGCGTCTTTTCTGGAAATGTTAGTATTTTCGAATGTACTTCATTACATTAAGATAGGTAAAATGCTAGACAACTTATATTTTGTATTTACCTTGCAAAAAAGAGGTAGCATATTGTATAGTTTATCATCTTTCTCGGCGTCTGTAAGGGGTTGCGGCGGATGTGTGTACTCCGCAAAGAGCTTTTTGAGGTGCATGAGACCAAGTTGGACGTGAGACGACGAGCTAGAGGCTTCGGCAGTCTCAGAAGACGCCGAAGACGTCGCCCCACGCAATTTGCGCATTAGATTCATTTTAGAAAACTTAATCAATACTTTTACACTTTCAAACACATCTTTAAATTTTTGGATTTATGTTGAAATTAAACATTTTAATTAAATAATAATAAACATTGATTTTCATTTATATTTTACACAGCGGTATCACCATTGCGCACTGTTATTTGGCAAATGTATCGTAAATTAAATACATAACTTATAAAGGGAAAACTAAAAATATTATGTAAATGACGATTTTTTCGTAGTTTTTCTTTTGTAAATTGATTGATTATTTTCTGATACTTTCGTACGCCCACACTGCAAAGTGCTTGCCATAGATTATTAAGATATTTATTAATATCAATCAATTTTGAAGAAATGACAAATGAAATGCTCGTTTGTTCCATTGATGAAATTTGAATGTCAGAAAGATTTTTTGTGTATCTTGGATTTAGGAATTAAATGAGTCCAGCTGACTTAACTCAATATTTTATGTGTTTATTGCTGGAGTCATTACTATTATTTAGCAATCAAGTTTAAAAAGGTAAACTAAAAGAAGACGTCGATCGCAACGTTTATCGAGAATATCGTCGTAAAATGACATAAGGACTTAGGACTTTATGTCAAAGTAGAGTTGTCAATGTCATTCATATTGTATGGCAGTTCATTCGTGCTACAAAAATAGCGTTTCCAACTAATAAACGTAAATTCTTCACACGCCGCCTTAACATTAAGATTCAGCTTTCTTGAATTAAAATGCCGGAAAATCAGAATCTTGTGCAGTGTTATAACCGTGGCTGCGGCCAACTCTTCGACCCTAACAATAACGACAAAGGTTTGTTAGCGAATTTTCTAGACTTTTCCATTATCCAGAATCTTATAAGACGATCATCCTGTGATTATTAGCTTTGAGGTTAAAATAGAAGCTGTCCGCTATAAAAAATATCTAAAAAATAAATGTTCTATCCATAATATACTGTTATGGATTAAGAAAATACTTTAATATAAAATGTGTATATTTTTCAGATGAATGCCGTCACCATCCAGGCAGTCCAGTGTTTCATGATGCATATAAAGGTTGGTCTTGTTGTAATAAGAAGAGCGTTGATTTTACTGAATTTCTAAACATTAAAGGATGTACAGTCTCGAAGCATTCTAATGTGGTTAGTATGAATTTATATTTTATTTTTATTGATACATCAGTTTTGTATGTAATTGTATTATAAATGTAACCTCCACATAATAATCCACTTAATGGCTTTTTAGAAACCTCCAGAACCGGAGAAAAAGGCTTTGGATAAGGATCTGGATACAAAAGAAGTGATTGAAATAAGAGCACCAGTAGTGGGCCCACAATTGCCAAGACCTCCTTTTGACACACCCTTGGTTACACTGAAACCTACAGTTGCTGAAGCTTTAAAACAAGCTGTGCAAAATACATCACAACCTACTGCTTCTACTGATGATGGGTATGTCAAAATAAGCCAAATTAATCAATCTTTTTATTTTATTTATAAGGTTGTTCAATTAACATTCAGTTTATTGATTAATAGTAAACATTCTCTATCCAAATACATTGATTTAATATTTCCATAGAAACAGGTTACTCATAATTGTTGTCACTTTATATGCAAGTCATGCAATCTTACAAATATCAAATTTGTTTTTCATTTAACACTATTTGTTTCCTATATGAATCTAACTTTAATTTATCACAAACCCTTGCTTGACATATTTTGACATTACTTTTCTGTCATTTCTTGGCAGAGCTGTTGCAATTGGTACATCTTGCAAGAATGGAGGTTGTGGTGTCACTTATGAAGGTCCACACACAAATGACAGCATATGCACTTACCATCCTGGTTGTCCAGTCTTCCATGAGGGTCTAAAATTCTGGTCCTGCTGTCAGAAGAGAACTACAGACTTTAACACCTTCCTCAGTCAACCTGGCTGTACTACTGGCACTCATAAATGGACTAAAGAGGTATTATTGATTATAAATAAATTTATGAATGTTGGATTACGCCATGGTTATTTGAAATGATATCGAAAATTTCTTTAATCATGCTTGGTTATTGACCAATTTTTATGTTTGTAAGAACATTTAAAATTGTCTCTGCCTCTTTTTTATGAAATGTACTGTCTACATATTTTCATTATTTTATACTAATTTTTACTGTTTTGCAGGGTACACCAGCTGGAACAGTTAAGTGCCGATGGGATTGGCATCAAACCCCTGATTACGTTATTGTGAGTGTATATGCCAAGAAATACGACCCAGTACTAAGTTTTGTTAAACTGAACCCTATTCGTCTCAACACTAAGTTGGTATTCCGAGAGCAGGGTGGTGCATCATTTGACTTAGATCTGGAACTTAGAGGTGTAAGTATTTGATAATAAGCTTATTTTTATTTTAGTCTGTCTGAGAAAGGTTAGGCATATAATATTTTACAAGTTTTTATTTATAACTTTCAATGTGAAATGAAGAAATTGTGAAGATATATTATCTTGAAGCAATTAAACTGAAATTTTGTATATGACCATTAATGGTAAGACGACTTTACTCTTTAAAGCCATGAAGTTTCCCAGTCATGGTAATTATAGACCCAAATGATAGAAGCTGGTTTTGTTTTTTTTATAAAGTTTTCACTGGTTTTTGCTATGTTGTTTGCAGGTCATAAGTGTTGAAAACAGCAGTGCATCAATGTTGTCAACGAAGATTGAGATCAAATTGAAAAAGGGAGAACCAGGTGCATGGAGTAAATTGGACTTTCCTCGCGCAGAGCCAAAGAAAGTGGAGGAAAAACCACAAGAAGAAGAAGTTAAACCTTCTGAAGATGACTATGAAGATCTTTCCACTGTTGAAGCTGTTCAACCAATGGGAAAACTCAATGTGTCTGGTTGATTAATTAGTTAATTTTATAAATATAGTTAATATGTATTTGACAATTTTTTTATGAAGCACAATGGTCTTTATCTCATCTAAGTAATTAATTGTATATGAGTGCTCTTCTGGCAGATGTGCATTTATTTACCGAATAAATATTAATTGTGCTTTAACTATTATGAAATTGTTATCATTTTATTTCTTTTTTTGTTTGTGTAGATAGGAGAGTAGAAAAAGAGTTCCCCATGAACACCTGCAAAACCAGAGGACTGGCAAGTGTGATGCTGTGTTTGTCTTTTTTCTTTGCTGGACATTTGGGGATTACTTTTTTATAGATTTAGGAATTGAGGAGGGGAAGGGTAGGGCCTCTGGTAACCTCTATCTATTATAAATAAAACTACACTGAATAACTCCTTGATTAAATCAAAACATATTTATATACAAATCAAAGAACATACCATTCTATTGTCTTTACAACATTTCATCAAAACATTTTTAAATTATTTCTCTAGATTTATAGCACATTATATTTAAATACATCTTAATTATTTATGTAAATACAATAAATTACTATAGAATAATAACATTTACAAAATTTATAATACAACATGACTAGGTTGACTAGACTAGGTGAGATTCAAAAAGGTACATTTTACATAATAATTTCAGATTCAAATACTCTCATACACTATTATAATATTAGAAGATACGACTTTATATAAAATTCTCTTCAGCAATTCAATTCAATTATTCTCTATGAACTTTTATTAGGTTTTCTATAGGCTACGAACTCGTATGTACTTATAATGTGAAAAGGATTTTTGGAATTTGATTTCTTACACAACGCCCTTATATCTATGTCGACGAACAAATATACATAATGATTACGATTTCAAACGTCCCTTATGGAGCCACTTAGTTTACTGTCTATGCCAATCATCAGAATTTTGCTCGATAAAAGATATTTGTAGCTACCTACCTACATATATTTTTTGTGTTACACAGCTTTGTTACAGTATAAATTAAAGACACAATATGAGTAAATCCTAATAGGCATCTCCTAATAATCGTCCAAATCCATAGTTTTGTTAAATAATATATTTAACAAAACTATGGATTTGGTACTAATATTCAAATTCTTGAGTACCTAGTGGCAATAGCTCTATACAGAAAATTATTGTGACTCCATTCTATAAACATTAGGTAGGTATAGATTACTATAACTGTAAGTATGTATATCATTATGGCGAGGAACAATGTTCGCTGGTGGGTGGTGGGGGTGGATGGAAGGCAGGCGCGGGCGCAGGCTGCATGCGGTACATGTCGTGCAGTAGTGTCGCCACGGAGACGTCGCCCACCGTGTCCCGGAACAACAGCAGCTCTATAGAGCGCGCGCGGACAGCTCGAAGTGATGGCAGTAAGAGAAGTAGGCGGCCGAATCTGAACAAATGTTTTATTTTTGATATTTGAACATATGTATTTATGTGGGTATGTTTGAGTAAGGTGCATACAGATCGTAGGTAGGTACATATTTCATTAGATAACATTTATTTAAGTAAATATAATTATGTAAGAAAATATATAATGATAAATTAAATTAAATTAAAAAAAAACAAAAGCTCTTCGAACTCTTTAAATTAATTTGGACTTGGACACCGTGGCAATGGCATCACCATTGCCACGGTGACATTTTTGAAACACCTACAAATAATATCATAGCAATTATTGAATACGTAGGGTGAACTCATCTAATTTCGTTACAAATGCATTTGAGTTACAAAATACCAGTAAATTATTAACTAATTTAATTCAGTATCAGCATGAGTTTTTTATCAGTCTTTTATGAGGAATATTAGCACAAATAATCAGATTTTATTCTAGACTCCTGGGAGTTATAACAAATTTACTAAACCAAGTCAACTTGCCTAATTCCGTGGTGACCTCTTTAAGTCCGTGATAGCTTATACTTTAATTCTGATATAACGGAATTAGGCAAGTAACTTTGAAATCGGACTCCGAATACTTTCTGTTCTTCTTGTTGGGGTCATCCATGATATATCTGAAAGTGAATCTGCAATTTAAAATAATTAATACGTACCTACTGCTAAGATTTTAGCGGCTGCCTAAAGATGAGCTCATATTAATAAAAAAAAAAACTGTGAAATTTGGTAAATTACTAACGCAATTATGTGACAAGTCCAAAAAAAAAGTGTCAACAAATTCCGTGATAGCAAAATATAATATTGGCTCAAAGTCGTCAATTTATTTAAGATCAGATAAACGTAATAAAATAACATCAATATTGTCTACTACACTCAAAATAAGTCAATAATTTTAGTTAAAACCACAAATATTTGTATATAACTACTATAATTCTGTGATAGCACAGAAACCACTCAATCGCTAAAACACTAATATTTTTGACGAACAAAATAAGCTCTAACACGAAAAAGACGCAGAACTTTAACGATTTTTTTACTGCCACATTAAGGGAATATCATATACAATCCATTTTATTCGAAAGAAGCTAAAAAATGGGTTAAATACTTATATAATTGAAGCAAAGTTCGCCACCCATTCACAACCACTGCGGAAACCGTCGAAATTCGCGCCCGAACTGACAAAACCGTTAGCTGTTTCTATCTCGCTCACTCGAGCATCCCCAAAATTTACATACGAATTCGAGATTAATCACTGAGGCTTAAGGTTGTATTTGAAACCTTTGATTTCACCAAATATCACCGAATTAGGCGAGTCACAGAATTAGATGAGTTCACCCTACATGTGCTAACATATTATCATTACCCAAATATATAGGCTATTGCGTTTTTTTTTTCATTGCATAGATAAGTTTATTTCTAGAAAAATAATTGAGTACCTAACTAGTAACCTCTCTTGAGACAGAATTGCAGATGTAAATCAGTGGCGATGATTGCTTATCATCAGGTAATCCTTAAGCTCAATTACCAAAATTTTTTTTGAACTGCGGGGTGTTAGGTTTTCTTTGAAAATGTAGCCTCACCCTAGAAACAATTGAGGTGAAACATTTGTGTAGGTATCTATCGATTATGCCCTAAATATTAGGTAGGTATGTATTTACCTTGTTGGTTGTCTGGTGTATCGTGTCCGCACGTAATCAGCCAGTATACATTGAGCCTGGTCTTGTAACATCTCCACTGGTTGAGTCTCACTCAGCCCCGGGGTATCTAGGCCCATAAACGAAATAAATCAATTAAAATATGTACGTAAATATCTATAAGTATGCTGTGTACAAAATGCAAAATAAAGTAGGTAAAAAAGGAGACCTATGTTTTGGCACAAATGGGTCGGCTCGGAGTGATTACCACCATAACCTCACAGAAAACCAGCGTGGAATAGGTAACTACAACGTTGTGTTTCACCTTGTGTGTGAAGCTACTGGATATGCCCAATCCTTCCCCTCCCCCAAACCCAAAATCTCCAAATCTCTAATCCTCAAAAGGACAGCAACGCACTCGTAACTCCTCCAGCTGATTGCTCTCCATCAGGTAACCCATAAGCTCGTTTGCCGACCTATCACATAAAAAACTAGGTACCTATCTACCTACATTGTAACAATGGATGGTACCTAGACACGTACCTAGGTTTCATGTCTAGACGTCTAAAATATTTAAGCTATATTGTAAAGGTATTGTAGTACCTAATAGTAAATACCTAGTTGTGTAGGCACTATACCAAGTATAAATGTATTGAAACTAACCTGGTGAGAAAAGAACAATAGCCTTCATACACCCACACTCGCTACCATCGGGTGCTATTTGACGAAACCGACACAAAATCTCCTGAAACAAGGCAAACATTTAATTAAGTAAGTATTCGACATTTGAATGATATCTATGTATGTAGACACAATATTTTATTTTTATTTAATACTATGTACTTAGCTTTTGCCCGCGACTTTGTTCGCGTGCAACTTTAACGTAGCGACTTTCTGCAGACTTTTGGTTTAAAAACTATCCTAAGTCCTCTCGTCTATATCTGACATTCCCTCTCGTCTTACACAAGGCAGGAATCGTCATTTAATGTCATGTCGAATACAATTTAGTTTAGATAACTTGTTGACTAATTCATATTAATTTCATAAAACGAGATGCTATGTGTACCTACCTACTTATATATGATGTAGTTATTTTGTGAAATGATATCTATGGATGGAAATGCAAACCACCCATGAGGTACCTACTTATATATTATGATGTAGTTATTTTGTAAAATGATATATGGTTGGAAATGCAAACCGCATGCTCAAGCTTTTTTTACAAATTTACATCAAATGGTTGTCTGGAAGAAATCGCCTTGTTTGGTTGGACCGGCCATTGTATAGATACTCATAAACTCTCCTATATTGTTTCAATCAAGTTTTTTTGAATGTATCCACAAACAATAAATAACGAATAAATAAAAAGAGATATAAAAAACAATTTTGAACTTACCTGTAAAGTATTCAATTCCAAGTCAGCCAATGGATCTGGTGGCAATCGAGCTCGCGCTGCGGGCGCGGCCAGCAGCGGTGCCAGGTCCCAAGGGGCTGACCACTGCGCCAGGTGCAGAAGGAACAGGTCCTTCCACGCAGCTCGTAAAAGGACCAGCTGGTCTGAAGCTGCGAGAGCTTGGAAAGGCGCTAAGCACCTCACCCAACGCACCGCCATGAAGAGAAGACGTGCACTTGTTTCCTATTGAGGATAAAACTAGTCATCAACTAATATTTGAATTGATTTTGAATAATAACTGTCTATTGCAAAGCAATATTATAATATTTTGTAAATAAGATATGTTCTGATATGCACTGCATAATTTCTTTAAGCTGTGCCCTACCCTCAGAATACAGAACAAACGCCCTACCATTGAGTCTAATCCTTACAGTGAATCACCTGTCACTTAGGTATAAAGGAATGCTATAAAGAATTTGAATTTGAATTTGAGTTGTAGTGATAGCCGATATAGCCGAGTTTCCTTTTACAGTTGCAGTAATAAATAATATCTACTACCTACATCTTTATATATGCATTCAGATGGTACATAAAGTAACGATGTCAAAACATGCGCATATCGTCGGAACATAAGTCAAACATCGATGACTTCAGCGACGCGCGGCGTAGCGCTACGCGTAGCGCGTAGAGGGCGATGGGCGGGGTAAGTCAACTGAAGGCGATAAGTCACCCAGCGACCGCCCAATAGCGTCTCGCACCCGCCCCTTTAGTCAAAAAGCCACCTATCAAATGTCTATATGGTGTACACCCCTTAAAGAACACCCGGAGTTGCAATAAATTGAGGAATGACTTTAGAGTTTTGAATGTTTATTAGAACAATGAATAAGTAGATTTAAGTTATACCTATATGTAAGTATTCAAGCTCCAAAGAGTTGGTAGGTAAGTTGTAACATTAATTATATAATAACGTACTTGCAAAAGTTCCCATGTAGGCGCAAGGGGTGCTCCAAAAGCACTTGGCGGTGGTCGAAGCAATGTCGGGTCGCCCTGTAATTGTAGCTGTTTTGCGCTCCACATCAGTTCCTAAAGAGAGTTCGATAAATATAGATTACAATACTGCTAGTGGTTTCTAGAAGCTACCTAAATACCAATATCAGTTTAAAGATTTTCAAATGATAAAAAATATATAGTGGCGGGGTCTTAACTTAGGTCTTAAATATGAGAATTTTTAACAGGGCCAGAATAATTTCCTCACCTGGCATTTATCGGAGGACATGAGGATATGTAGTAAGCCTGGAGGTGGTGGGGCTAGAAAAGGCTCTGGGACGAGCGGCAGAGGGCTCGGAGCTCCTGCGCCTCCACCAGCGCCACTAGACCCCGCTGAGGAAGCCGTGCTTAAGGGGGCCGGCTCGCTCATACCACTGATATTGAACTGTTAGATGTGAAAATCAGATTGGACTTGTTAGATTTTTTCTAAAGTTGTTGGGACTTTTTTAAGATGAACTGAACAAATCGTCTATCTGGTTATAAAGTAGGAAACTGTGAATGTATGCTGGTAGATAATAAAACATAATTCCTTAAGGATTCAAAAGATTGTTTTAAGAATACAAATTCGTCCGTTTGCTAGCATCACTGAAAGTACTTATCTTAAATATTGTGATTTGAATTAATTTGATTAGAGGTTTTTACCTGAAAATTGAAGGTCTGCGGTAATGGTGTGTAGGGCGAAGGTGGTGACAGCTTTAGAGCGTGCGGCTTGTGTGCGTGGTTCATTGGCGGTGGCCCCAGCGCACCCATAGCGCCTGTCTGCAGCTTCGGCTTACGAGGACCTCGCTCATGCTGCACCGCTGCGAGAAGTGTGCCATTAGAATTGGTAAATTCTGAACAAGTTTCGGGATGTGATGACTACGATGTCTTTTTAAAGAAAAAGACAAAATTTTCGAAAGGTTAAAATATCTTAGACGCTCGTTTATAGATACATAGGTAAGTAGGTACTGTTAAAAGATGAAAAATACTTTTACGTATTCTAAAAAATATCTTTTCACATTGTCCAAAATTCAACACCTGTAAATATACCTACAATACCAAAGAATAATGAACAAAAGTATTTGACTACATGTAACTCCGTAGTTGTTTTACACGTAGGATTATAGAGCCATGAACCGCTTATTCTGGCGATCCCTCGGTAAGCTGGGATCGTCCGCGCCTCGTCTGCCGTCGTATAATGTGCAATCGAGGGCCGTGCTCACCGCACCGCGCCCTTTGACCGATCATGTGCTTATTATTTTGTTACGAATACTTTAAGCATTCATTCTGAAACATTCATGTTAATTCTCTTATTGAGAGCCGTTGATTTAGAAATGATCGTATGCTTTATATAAAGGTTTGGTTTTAGGTAGGTGTACGTAGCTATCTATCTATGCAATATGCATGTAGCCATTCAAATAAGAGCTTAGGAATGCACTTTAAAGAATGAGAGTGACTTGGGCTTTACATGAAAATGTAATATAGGTTTTTCTAGATATCAATGTAACAAATAGAAGGCAGACTTAAAAAGAATACCCCATCACTTATCGAAGACTAAACTTAAACTGATGTAGAAGTTCTTTAAAATTTAAAGCGAACTGTTTTAATTGCAAGTCCAATGTGCACGGAGCCTGTGTAGGGATGACGTCACGCAATCAGCTTAACGAGGCTGAGTCCATGAGAATGCGGCTATTGTGCCCGCACATGTCGGCGCATACGCTGCGTTCCCGCGCCGCCACCGCTTCAAGCGATCACGAAATATTGATGCAGTAAGTAAACTTTAAATAAACCGACTTTAAAATTATTATTTTTTATTACAAACAATTGGGTAGTTTAAAAGTCAAAAATAAATTAATTGGACGTTTTATTACAATAAAATATTGAAAAATAACTATACATTCATTCATCGATCAATCGATACACTAAATTTTAGATATTTTAGCTTATTTTAAAGAAATAAGTACGCTATTTTACACAAAAACTATGTCGTCATAACTCAGTATTTCATATAAATTTTACAGAAAAGCATAGTTTTTGACATTTGGATAAAAGTATTAAATTTGACTAGTTGGAAACTACCGTATTGCTGCTGGAAATGGTAGATTGATCTTCATTTATTTTTTCGAATAAGTAAGTAGTTTTAAGCTGTGTTTAGCACCACGTAGCACAAAGTATTTGACCATTCCTCATTTGGTAACCAACCATTAGATTTCTCTCATAGTTCTTATGTAGCAGTTCGTTTTGTTTCATAATGTTTTTTTAAAAGAAAAAGCGACAGGTTTGTTCTACTTTGCACTGCGACTGTTGTAAAACTCCAATGAAGTATTTTTGTTAACAGTTGAAATAAAATTGGTATAGAGATAGATTAAAGTTTGGATTGGCAATTTTTTTACCGCAAACGCTACTGGAAGAGGCTAGTTTTGATTTATATAAATTGTATCAAAATTAAATCTTTAGTTGCAAATATCTACAGATACTGAAAATGGCCTTAAGAATACTTTTTGATTGATTTGTAGGATCTCTTTGTATTTATTTCACTCTTTGGTCAATTGTATGCACCTTCTGCATTCTTCTGCATAGTGATATTGTGTATACGGCTTAGCAGACGATACAAATGCTGACGGACGCACTATTCGAATAGCAGTCTTCGTGCACGTAAGTGGGGACTTTAAATATTCAATGAAGAATCTAAAATGGCTTTATAAGGAATTAGTGACTTGGTCCGTTCTTTGCTCTAATTCTTATAAGTAGTTTAAATTATTTATTTTATAATCTTTACATATAAAATATGCTTTTAGTAACGCGTACACGTTACATCATCAAAATCATGTTGCAAATCAACGGTGAAAGAAAATACATAGAAGTCTCAATTTAAATCTGTATATTTTTCTTATCGACATCTAATAGGGTAAAACGTCGATGATGTTTTCCATAACGTTTAATTGATTGATTGTAAATTCAAAGTTTGTTTGTAGTAGTTGGTATACGTTTACTATTGAAACTTTGTTTGTTCGTTTCCTTTCACGGGATCACAGGATCCCGGACCTTTGGAAGGCGTACGAGGAGCCAAAGCCAACTCGCAGAGGCCCGTTGAACAATTTTAATCTAAATGTGATGGGACATCAGCCGGCAATTATCCCTGTATGCACTATAAAAGTGCACCCAAGGACAATCCCCGGTTGATGCAGGACTATTGTAAAATGTGGTAACAATTGATAGGGTTATGGGTATGGGTTGCTATGCACTAGTGGATGAAAACTATGGAAATACTATGGCCCCTGCCCCTGACCAATATTGATACATACGGATAAACAGGCAGGGGGTGACTGGCAAACTCAATTAATGGCCCCCCGGAAACGGCCGCTAGCATGTAGCGACACGGAGGCAACATACGTTGAGCTGCTTGGGGAAGGAGAGGCATCCCACGGCTATCAGAGCAATCCCGGAAGTACGGTCAAGACCCCTACCAGCACCTTACTGAGATACATCCTTCCCCCGAGTCTCCTTCAACTCCTACTCTTGCGAATCTCCACCCAAGCCAGCCAATTAAGGCAAGAATGAGGTAGGAGGGCTTGTTCTTCATCAGTGTTCACTCCAGCTCGTCACGAGGACTAACTGGAGAGAGAAGAACAAGACACCTCCCGGGAGTCAGGTCCGTGGGGTCGCCACTGCCCAACAGCTCGCCACAAGCTGCCTTGCGGATCTATTGAAACTATCGTTAGGATGATCTTTTGTTCTAAAATCTTTTATTAGTCAGAGTATTTTGAAAAAGATTAAAGCAACGACTACTTATATGTACATATTTACATACATCTACATATATCGAGTGGTTAGTAGGTATACATAAAACACATCGCGTGTAGTGAATTGTCAGAGCAACTGATGCAATGTTAACCTTTTGTTTATGGGGCGCGTGTAATCCCAAATACAACACGTGCTTTTTTTCACGACGTCATCGGCTTCCCTCGCACACATTACACATCCGAAAACAGGCTTTATGACATCACTATACGACACACATTCACTGATCGTTGATATTTAGGGTCGGTTAAGCCAAGGGGCTCAGTTTCCAGTGTGACGCGGATAAGCGAGATTTTAATTAAATGAAGGCGAAATGTGTAACAAGTTTTTATTATCTGATGACTCTAGTGAAATTTGTGGTTTTGATAAGTATCTTTCTAATTTTATTTTGTAGCTGTGCGTCGTAGCACACGTAGCTTGTAGCGTGCTACGTGCTACACTTCTACGGCAGGTAAAATAAACAAAAGAGTAAAATTATGTTTATTTTTCTCCTAATACTGTTTTTTTTAATTATAATGTAAATAAATACATGCCATATTATGTCGGTCGTCAAAACACAAATTGCTGGCCGACCGACGGCATCATGGCTGCAGTCGCAAAATCGTTTGAGTTATTGACAGTAATTAATAAGGGCATAAGCTTTTTTTAAAACAAAGAAACTATGTAAAATTTAAATAAGTATACATAAGTAATGGTAAATGAAACATTTTTATTAACACCAAATTTTAAGGCTTTCTGTTCTGTAGATAAATAGGTTTACTTAAGTTAAAAAAATAAGAGAATATATCGTTAAAGTTAAAAAAATATAAAGCTTTAAAAGAAGTTAAGTATCCACCGCTTAAGCTGATATAAAAGGCGCGCAGTGAATCACATTGGCAACGTTTAAAAGGGAGATTTAACTTCAAACATGTATCGACAAGCCCCTCGTTCACCGAATTGAAAGCAAACAAAACATGTTTTTCAAAAAGGTAGTTGATACAAAAAGTATTTTTTATTTATTACCCGCAGGCGTTGGCAGGCCGACGTCAATTACATTCACTACATTTTAATTTTGTGTTTGGTAAAATAACTCGTGGTAATGGTGTTAAAATTGTGCCAAAAAGCACACAAAAAAGCTACCTACCTATGTATACATTGCAGCACCTACGAAAATTTTACTACATTGTATTAAGTAATGCTTAGGTTTTTTTTTACATTTTTGTATTTGTAAGCGAATCATGACAAGCCAGGAGGAACTTGAAATTATCTGATTACAAAAAATCAAAGCAAGTTAGGTACAAATCTCTAAAACTTCTGTTTCGAATTGAACGATTCTTTTTGTGGCTAAAAAACATCACGCTTTTGATAGCAATAGATGTGCAGCGGATAAAGCTGGATGTGCGCAGAAGTGAAGATAAACGTATAATCGGTTATCAAAAAGAACTGAAATCATATTTTGAGTTGATAAAAATTAAAATAATAATATAAACCAACATTATTTCTTTTATATTTTTTTTATCCAATTTGAAAAACAAACCTTAATCAAAATAGCGTCAAACTATGTATAAAAAATGGCATCGTATATACTATTTTCTATATGACCTATTTCCAGGTAACATCTATCTATGCACTATTCGCGCTTCCATAAGGTGTAAAAGCATTTGTTGCGACTACTTGCGACCCCCACCAGTACCGGGTGGTAAGGGGTCGCGGGTAGGTTACCTATAAAGTACCTACTCTACGACGTTACTGCCCGTGTAAATGGAGTTCTGCGGTCGATATCGTAGTGATGTACCAACCATCTGTCGATAATAAGTTTAATATACACTTATATTTATAACTAACGACCCAGCTCAAAACGGTATATTCAAGATTTATGCAAAAAATTTAAATGATGCTATTATACATATTTTATACACCTTCCTCCTCAATCACTGAACTTGAAAACTGCATTAAAGTCCCGTTACGTAGTTTTAATGATTAAATCATACACAGGGTTGTAGGGACAAAGAAAGAGACTTTGTTTTATACGATGCAGTGA